GCAACTACCCAGAGCTCGACTCTGCATCAAGAGACCAACTACCCACAGCTCGCCTCTGCATCGAGAGAGCGACTACCCACAGCTCGACTCTGCATCAAGAGCAACTACCCACAGCTTGACTCTGCATCAAGAGCAACTACCCACAGCTCGACTCTGCATCAAGAGAGTGACTGCCCACAGCCCGACTCTGCATCAAGAGAGCAACTACCCACAGCTCGACTCTGCATCAAGAGCGACTACCCACAGCTCCACTCTGCATCAAGAGAGCAACTACCCACAGCTCAACTCTGCATCAAGAGCAACTACCCACAGCTCGACTCTGCATCAAGAAAGCAACTACCCACAGCTCGACTCTGCATCAAGAAAGCAACTACCCACAGCTCGACTCTGCATCAAGAGCGACTATCCACAGCTCCACTCTGCATCAAGAGAGTGACTACCCACAGCTCGACTCTGCATCAAGAGCAACTACCCACAGCTCGACTCTGCATCAAGAGCAACTACCCACAGCTCGACTCTGCATCAAGAGAGTGACTGCCCACAGCTCGACTCTGCATCAAGAGAGTGACTGCCCACAGCTCGACTCTGCATCGAGAGAGCAACTACCCACAGCTCGACTCTGCATCAAGAGAGCAACTACCCACAGCTCGACTCTGCATCAAGAGAGCAACTACCCACAGCTCGACTCTGCATCAAGAGCGACTACCCACAGCTCGACTCTGCATCAAGAAAGCAACTACCCACAGCTCGACTCTGCATCAAGAAAGCAACTACCCACAGCTCGACTCTGCATCAAGAGCGACTACCCACAGCTCGACTCTGCATCAAGAGCGACTACCCACAGCTCGACTCTGCATCAAGAGCGACTACCCACAGCTCGACTCTGCATCAAGAGAGCAACTACCCACAGCTCGACTATGCATCAAGAGAGCGACTACCCACAGCTCGACTCTGCATCGAGAGAGCAACTGCCCACAGCTCGACTATGCATCAAGAGAGCAACTGCCCACAGCTCGACTATGCATCAAGAGACCAACTACCCACAGCTCGACTCTGCATCGAGAAAGCAACTACCCACAGCTCGACTCTGCATCGAGAAAGCAACTACCCACAGCTCGACTCTGCATCAAGAGAGCAACTGCCCACAGCTCGACTATGCATCAAGAGAGCAACTACCCACAGCTCGACTATGCATCAAGAGAGCAACTACCCACAGCTCGACTCTGCATCAAGAGAGCAACTACCCACAGCTCGACTCTGCATCAAGAGCAACTACCCACAGCTCGACTCTGCATCAAGAGCAACTACCCACAGCTGGACTCTGCATCGAGAGAGCAACTACCCACAGCTGGAGTCTGCATCGAGAGAGCGACTACCCACAGCTCAACTCTGCATCGAGAGAGCGACTACCCACAGCTCGACTCTGCATCAAGAGACCAACTACCCACAGCTCGACTCTGCATCAAGAGAGCAACTACCCACAGCTGGACTCTGCATGGAGAGACCAACTACCCACAGCTGGACTCTGCATTAAGAGCAACTACCCACAGCTCGACTGTGCATCAAGAGAGCAACTACCCACAGCTCGACTCTGCATCAAGAGCAACTACCCACAGCTCGACTCTGCATCAAGAGCAACTACCCACAGCTCGACTCTGCATCAAGAGCAAATACCCACAGCTCGACTCTGCATCAAGAGCGACTACCCACAGCTCGACTCTGCATCAAGAGCGACTACCCACAGCTCGACTCTGCATCAAGAGCGACTACCCACAGCTCGACTCTGCATCAAGAGCGACTACCCACAGCTCGACTCTGCATCAAGAGCGACTACCCACAGCTCGACTCTGCATCAAGAGCGACTACCCACAGCTCCACTCTGCATCAAGAGCGACTACCCACAGCTCGACTCTGCATCAAGAGCGACTACCCACAGCTCGACTCTGCATCAAGAGCGACTACCCACAGCTGGACTCTGCATCAAGAGCAATTACCCACAGCTCGACTCTGCATCAAGAGCAACTACCCATAGCTTGACTCTGCATCAAGAGCAACTACCCATAGCTTGACTCTGCATCGAGAGAGCAACTACCCACAGCTCAACTCTGCATCGAGAGCAACTACCCACAGCTCGACTCTTCATCGAGAGCAACTACCCACAGCTCGACTCTGCATCGAGAGCGATTACCCACAGCTCGACTCTTCATCGAGAGAGCAACTACCCACAGCTCAACTCTGCATCGAGAGCGATTACCCACAGCTCGACTCTTCATCGAGAGAGCAACTACCCACAGCTCAACTCTGCATCGAGAGCAACTACCCACAGCTCGACTCTGCATCAAGAGAGCAACTACCCACAGCTCGACTCTGCATCAAGAGCAACTACCCACAGCTCAACTCTGCATCGAGAGCGATTACCCACAGCTCGACTCTTCATCGAGAGAGCAACTACCCACAGCTCAACTCTGCATCGAGAGAGCAACTACCAACAGCTCGACTCTTGCCAATGTCTTTTGAGTTGCACTTGAAAGAAAATAATGTCTACAAAATAAGATGGAATTAGAATGACGATCATTTAAAAAGTTAGCAATTCATTTGTGGGACCCATTTGCAAGCCCAGAAATACCCAAAGTCTAAACCAGTCATAACCTGAAGTCGATGCCCTGCTGAGCAGCAGCCCAACGCTGCCAGAAAGCTGCCAGGCCGACTCCTCTTCCTCACTGCTCTCCCTGGGAGGCACAAAACCAAGACTACATAGAGCACAGACCGCAGCAGCATGTGCCTTGCTTGTGATCGCTGCTATTTGAAGCCCCATAAAGAAGTTACAAAATTCTTTAAAGGGAGGCCTGCATTCATCTGGTGACCTACTGCAAAGTGCTTAAAAACATGTTTATTCTGTTTTTATTCAGTAAGATTCTGCACAAATAAAGGAAGATGCAGAAAAGGAATAATCTTTTCCTTACAACACTATATAGATATTTACCATGGTGTTATTCAGCCAGAAAAGTGTCTCCTATTGTGACTGGAACATTCTGGTAACAAATGCCAGGGCCAAAAGTAGGGAAGTGTCGGGATAAGAAGCCAGTCTGGGTCCTGAAAGGCTATGGGTGCCTGCAGGCCAACCACCCCACACACTGCCACCTCTGGGTTTGTGGCCACCTTAACTGATCCCACAGGCCTGTCCCCAAGGAATGAGCCTCTGACTCTATAGCCTCACCCACAGCACCCCTAAACAGGCTTCCTCTGGCCCAACACCACACCAGCTTCCCCTCCCTAAGAAAGGGGCCTCATGGAGTCTGTCTCTGGGCTGTGGTTCAGCATCCAGAGTCTGCTCTCCCGAGGCGAGCTGCTCATGCGATGTCACAGACCACAGCTGCTCTGTAAAGCAGAAACCACCACCCACTGGGACTGGAACTAGGTTAGAGTGTGGACAATGAAGCCTCCTAGCCAGTTGTCACTGAGCATAGTGACACCTCAGGTCCTCACTCTGAATTCAGAAGACATCACGAGTCAAACTCTTAAAGTAACAAGCCTTATAAACAACCATTACAGCTTGAAGCAGGTGTGGTGGTGTACACCTATAACCCCAAACCTACAGAGGCTGAGGCAGGAGGATTAAGGCTTCCAGGCCAGTCTAAGTTATACAGCAAGGTCCTGCCTAGAGCAAACAAACAACATCATAGTTGGTGAGAACAACTGAAGGAGGTACAGTTGACCATTACATGTATGTATGGGGCATATTAAATGTGTGTGCAGGGCAGTACATGTGTGGGGGGATATATGTGTACAGGGAGGGCATTACATGGGCATATGGGGTATATTACATGTTAGAGTAAATTTCATGTGCGTAGGGAGTATATCACATACATGAATGGAATACATCCGTATGCAGTGCATTCCATTTGCGTATAGGGTAAATCATGTGTACATGGAGTACATTACATGTGTGTGGGGCATGTTACATGTGTGTTGAGTATACTGTATAGGGGTGAAGTGCATTACATGTGTGTAGAGTACATTATATGTGTATATAGAGGACATTATATGTGTGCATACAGGACCTTATATGCATGTGTGGAAATACCACAGTGAAACTCTTTGCACAATTAATACACACTAATAAAGCCTTAGTAACCAAAAGCACCTTTGTTCGCAAGTCTTTGATGTTCCTTCAGATAACAGAACACTGTGAGGACTGAACAGAGTCTGTGAGGGCCTTCTACCCGCACCCACTGGCATCCTCAATCACGTCTGCCAAAGCCATCAGCCGTATTCCTGGGACCCTCAGGAGAAACTGCTGACCTAGTCTCTGCCTCACACAGTGCACCTGTGTGGCACCTGCCCAGGTGGCATGAGCTGTGTGGCCCAGCTCCCCCTCCATAGAATTTTGAGTGAGAAGACACCACTAGGACAGACTGGAAGTTGGCCCATGGTGGGAATCTCCCTGTTACCCCGTGACCCTCTGACCACCCTTCCTGGGAACCCCTCTTGAGACTCCCCCCCCCCCCGATCTTACCCTTGTCCTTGAGTTCAGCCCTGACCTTGTCTGGAAGTACGCTGCCTGCCACAGCTGCAGGAACATTATTCAACCTGCTACAGCCACAAAGACACTGCAAATGGATGGCTAAAACCCTTCCTTTCCCCTGCCCTGCCCTGCTCCCTGTCTCCCAGGCCCTGCTCGGTGTTCCATGATGAAACCCTGGCCTGGCCTGTCGAGGTCTCTGCCTTCTTTCTCTCCTTTGATCCATTTGATCTTTCCTAACACTGGTGACTCAGTTTCCCAACAGCCCACAAGATCATCAAAGATCAAAGTACAAAACTTTACATGTACTAATATTAATTCATGCAGCCAAACATCAAAGTTTAAGGGTAGTTTAAAGGACAATAAAAGTTAACACTGAATTTGATAGCAATGATAAAATTGTATCATAATGTATTTGTCACTGTTAAAACACGTTAAGCTCAAAATTTGACAATTAATACACAGACTGCAAACTTACTTTGTTTTGACAAATTTGGTGGACGGGCCGGGAGTGAACTTCTGTGATCACCGCAGCACTGCAGCCCATGTTGAGGTCAAAAACTTCCAAAGTCCTGTCTCTGCCGGCTGTCAGCACCAAGTCTGTAGCAATCCAGTTAGGGCTCTGCTCACAGGACACACAGTCTGTCTGCTTTACTCATACAGCTCACGGGACATTTTGAGACCCAGGAAGGATTTCTGATGTTCCACAAAAAAGGGCCTGCCCAGCACACAGCAAGAGAGGGTAGGCTGCGGGAAGAGGGGAAGTGGTGGTGCAGGAGGGCAGGCAGAGAGGCTGCAGGAAGACTAGTGAAGACGGCAGCCACTCAGGAGCTCGACTCTTACATCTATGGACTGTGAGTGACCCATGGAAAGAAAGAAAGAAAGAAACGAACGAAAGAAAGAGAGAAAGAGAAAGAGAGAGAGAGAGAGAGAAAGAGAAAGAAAGAAACAAAGAAAGAAGGAAAGGAAGAAAGAAAGAAAGAAAGAAAGGAAGGAAGAAAGAGAGAGAAAGAGAAAGAAAGGAAGAAAAAGAAAGAAAGGAAGGAAGGAAGGAAGGAAGAATGAAGGAAGGAAAGAAAGAGAGAGTGAAAGAAAGAGAGAAAGTAAAAGAAAGGAAGGAAGAAAGAGAGAAAGAGAGAGAGAGAGAGAAAGAAAGAGAAAGAAAAGAAAATGCCCTATATTCCTAGGCACTGTTCAGTGAAGTACAGCCCCAAAATGTCTGTAAGCCCACCCTGCTGTGTGTCCTAACAAGCCCTTAGGGTCTCACTGCTGCAATTATGTCTGCAGTTGCTGTAATGAGTGCTGTGGAAAAGATGATCTGTGACTCCTGACACCAGAACAGTCCCAGTGACTGGAGCTTCCGGGCCCTGGCACCAGGAAACGGCCAAGTGTGTGACACAGTGGAGACCAGAGAAAGGATACAAGAGTAGAAGTCATTCACTGCTGACAAGCTGGTCACATCTGCCGAGCCTGCCATGGAGCAGCAATGCACGGCCTGGCACCAGCTCTTTGGCTTATACCTGGAAGGAAAAAAGTGAAGGCAGTCAGTCTCACTGCTTCTGACTACAGCCAAACATCCCACCTCCTATAAAAAAACAAAAATGCAAGTAAAGGCTTCACGCCACTTAACAAGTTCTATTTTTTAACACTGCACTAGTAGGTAACTGACTCGTCATAAAAGACCTGTTTTCATTCACATCTCGGTCCTATTTCTAAAGGGTAGCCTAGGTAGTGAGTGTGTTTAATAAGCGTCTACATGGTCTTAGCCCCTAGAAGTAATTTCCTAACGGAGAGTCACCAGACAGCAGTGGAGTAAGATGTACCACCCAGCAGGAGACGCAATTACGGCAAAGAGGCGGATGTGCACAGGGCGGCCACTGGGGAGGAAGGAGTACTCAGCTCTGCCCATGGGGTAGGGACACGTGCATGTTGCTAACCCTTAGATCAGAACTCAGCAGATGGAGGGAAAGCAGAGGGAGGGCAACCTGCCTTTTCATCTCATCTCTGTGAGGATCGAGGTGAACCTTCAGGAGCCGGAGCTCAGGGCCAGACGCTAACAGCATGAATGTGTCCATGTAGTAAAACTGCGCGGACTGGACTGGCTTGGGAAACATGTCTCTGCCCTGGAAAAAGACAGGCCATTGATGCCCTGCAACAAGCCTGCTAACCGAGGTTCCCACCTGTCCCAGGTGGAAAACCCTTCTTCAGAGCTGATGGAGTTGAAAGAACCTGCATGGTTACACTCAGCTGTAATCAGCATTTCAAATCCTGCCACCTACAAACACCAGCCTGAGCAGAAAGCCGAAATCCTGAAGGGACATATGAAAGGGCATGGGTTTTTACTAGGCCTGAAATTCAAAGCGTGCTGTGACACACAGGTATGCTGTCTGCAGTCACCTCCGCCTGCTGTGCACGCGGGCACGGACACATGAGAGTCCGTGAGCACTGTCCCCCTCCGAAGCAATCACCCCCTAGGCCTTCCTAGCCTCCTGGTGAAGGCTGGACGGGACCTGAGGAGGTACCCCCAGGAGAGCGTGGCCACAGCTCAAGACCAATGAGAGCCAGCCTGAGGCCACCGCCCACCCCAGAGCCAACTGCACCCCAGTACCAAGAGCAGCACAAGCTCCGCCCTGCGGGCCGACCACACCCTCAAGGTCCGGTCCTGGGCTGTGGAGAGTAGCCACCTCCCGTCCTGGCTCCAGCAGACCCTGTTCACGGCTCCATCGTGACCTGAGGACAGAGGCAAGAGGGAGAGTCCAGGGCGCTGCCTGGAGTACTCTCCCAGGACACACACACTGCCCGAGCAAAGGTAAGGCCAGCATCACCCACCCACACTGTCCAGGAGACAAGTTATCTGAAACTATCTATCTGGGAGTCACGGTAACACAGTTTCTCAGGAAGAGTTTTCTGAACCCCCTATTCTTAAATGATAGCGTTCAAAACCAAACCCCATACACACCGGTGGCTATGAGCACTTAAGAGAGCGCTATAAAAATACTGTGATGTAAGAGTGCAGACATGTGTGGACTTTGCAACCATTATTATTTATCTTAGTAGGGGAGAAAATGCCAAAATGGTTCACTGTGGAGCGCACTGCAGAGCGCCGTGCTGAGGTATGAGGGGCCACTTGGAGCCCAGCTCCTGCCGAGGCACACACCTCCAGAACCGGAGGTCAGCAGCCTGCTGCAGGACCCCGGCTGGCGGAGACACGGCAGTCGGCAGACTCCAGTGCGCCAAGGCTTTGTGGTCCCGCCTCACGCTCTTGGTGCGTGCGGTCTGGCTGGCTGGGGACACGCTCCTCCTCTCAGAAGGGGCTCAGGCAGGGAGTCACCTGAGCCCGTCTGCCTGAAGCAGAGACGCGGAGAGGCCCGGAACACAGACTGCTGAGAGGAGTCTGTGAGCTGGGCCTGCGGCAGAGCCGGGAGGGAGCTGGGTGGTAAGCAGGCGTGAAGCTGCTCGATGCCAGCCACCACGGGGGTGGGGAAGAGGGGCCGTGACTCGCGGGACAAGCACATCCCCCTCCGTGCACCTGTACTGAAAATACACTGCAGAGAGCCAGCAGACTTCAGGTGAGCCCCAGACACAAGTTACACTCCGTGACTTACACAGTAGACACCGAATTGGTGACCCCTTATTGTACTGGTCAGAGTACCAACAAAATAAAAATGGAAAAACCTGTGACTTCAATCAAGCAGAGCTAAAATTTGCTGAGCAGCAAAGGACATGAAATAGCTTTGCTGCCCCCTTGTGACACACTCTCATCAACACAGGGCTGCCTACCAGTCCAAAGCCAGGCTGGCTGGGAGCAGAGTGTGCTGCTGGCTGGAGGCCAGGGTCACGGCCCCAGGAAGCAGTCCTGGCCCAGCACCGGTGCACTGCCCCGGCGTCTCACCTCCACATGACCCTCCCACCACCCCCGTGCAGCTCCCCTCCCTCCATCGCCAAAGAAGGGTGCTCAGAGCTACGTCCACCCCAGTCACAGGTGCCCGGCTGGCTGGTGCCACGAGAGAGGAGGGAGGGAGGTTGTGGCAGAGAGTGAACCACCTGAGTCTGAAGCAGGCTCTGGCCACCCACCCGCGGCTGAGGCATCGCGACCCTCCAGCAACAGACTCAATTCCGAGGGCTAGCGCAGGTTCTGTCAAGGGAGGACGGGGAGGCCTCCCCTCCTGGGCCTGCAATGCTGGCACACTGGGGCCTCCAGGAAGAATGCTCATTCACAGTTGTCTCAATGACTAGGACTGTGATCAAACATAAGCACCCGCTGGTCCACTCTAGCGAGGTGCAGTGACACCAATCACATTTCCAAACTTGAGCTCCATGGCTACCAAACAGGGGAACACACAAGTGAGAGGACGTCAAGGCACAAGGCAGACTCTCCAAACAACAGAGAAAGTACCTTAAAGACAAGTCTAAGCACCTACTCTGCTCCTCGATTCAGCGGGCAGACCTTCCCAGTAAGATGTGTGCACAAGGCCACTTGGGGAATGGATCAGCAGCAGACAGCCTCCTGCCTGCGGGGTGCCTGCATAAGCCTGAGGAGCCACAGAGGTCAGAGGCCAGGGAGGTAAGGAAGAAAGGGCCTCAGTCGGGACTGAGGTGCTCCTGGTGACCGGGGAAGGCAGCACGCTGCCACACACCATCTGGGAGAGACCACAACTCCTCTGACAGCAGGGGAGCAGGAAGCCAGGCCCTGCCTAGCAGGGGCCACCCGGACACTACCGGGAGCCTGAGACAGACCCCCAGCTCAGGCTAAGCCCAAACCCAGACACACCTGGGCATCTTTGCAGCCGCCTCCCGGCCCCGACACCTTCCCAGTAACCCCGCTCCCAGTGTCACTCCCCCAACCCTCACGCTGGCCAGGCCCAATGTATAAAACAGATGACCTACAAAATGGCCTTTCTTTTTGTGTTGGGTAAATTATCTGTAAGCATAAGCACTATCTGAACCTAATGGGGCACTGTAATATTTTGAGCTTAGAACTGAGAATCCCGAGTGTTAAGGGTTAAAAGCAAGGTGTAGTAATTTAACATTGCTGCTCACAATCTCAACTCTACCTTCTTAAGAAAAAAGATTCAGCTGGGCACCGGGGGCTCACACCTGTCATCCTAGCTACTCAGGAGGCTGAGATCTGAGGATTACAGTTTAGAGCCAGCCCAGGCAGGAAAGTCCAGGAGACAGTTATTTCCAATAAACCATCAGAAAACTGGAAGTGGCGCTGTGGTTCAAGTGGTAGAGCACTAGCCTTGAGCTGAAGAGCTGAGGGACAGCACCCAGACCCTGAGTTCAAGCCCCATCACCAATCAAAAAAAAAAAAAAAAAGATTCATCTTGTTGCATTTATAAACATGTCTGTTACCAACTCTACTTATTTCAAAATAATTTTCAATTACATCTTTTGTTTAAGTTAGTTAAACATATCCCAGCTCTTTAAGATTTGGCTGCCTTTGCCTCACAGAGAGCATGCACCTGCAGGCACGGGTGCTCTGCGTGGGCCTGGGCCTGGCGACATCTGGTTTATTCTTTCATCATTCCCCATCTCTCCCACCCAAGCCTCAGCCAAACCCAGTGTGGAGTGCAAGCAGACCAGAGTCATCAGCTGACACAATGACCAACAAAGCCATCCTTAAGATCAAGATGCATTTTACCTGACAGAGCAGCTGGGGTTCCTGTAAGGCTGGCGTCAAAGAGCAGGGAAAGATGATTGGCTAAGGCACAGGCCAACCGCTGTCCGTCTCCTGTTTGAAAACATGAGCGCTTCCTGTGAAGTCCTGAGACATGGAAGTCCCACGGGTAAGGCAACAGACAAACGGCAGTGCTTTTAGAAAGCCTGATGTTCATTTTCTCCGGCAGTGAAAAGCTAGAACCCGCGAGTAGCAGGACTCACAGACCCACCCTCCTGCATGGCAGGGCCCTAGGGTGCTGCCCCTGAGAGGGACACGGGACCACCCCCCACGTGAGAGGGGGTCTGCCACCCTCTGCTCACAGAATGGAGCTGAGCCGCCCACTCAGCTGTGGGTCTGGGAATCCAGGAACTCTCTAGGCAGGATACCCCAAACACTTATCTCAGGCCTGATTCACATCCACAGGCCAGCTAAGAGATACTTAGCTATGCACTTGTGTTGAAACATCTCACCAAACCAGCCTAAAAACGAATTGCAGGCTTCATCCACAATGCTCAGTGATGCTTGAAGAGATACAGCCACCCAAGAAATGTCCTAATCTATACAATTCTCAGCAACAAGTTTTTAATTTTTTGGTAAAATTACATGAAAAACAGAGGGGATTCTAGCAGCACTGGCCCTCTGGGCCAGTCACTGAGCAAACTCTGGACTTGGCAAAGGTACGAACTGCCGGTGTGGCTCCGGGGAGCACTGTAGTAGGCCTGTGCTGGAGAGAGGCATGGCGCACCTGTCAGCAGGTCCCACTTCAAGGACAGGGCCCAGGTCTGGGCTGCCTTCACGAAGCTGCAGGCATCCCCACACTGCCCTCACTCCTTCAAGCATTAAGAAAAAACACTGCAGTTCCACTGAAGAGGATACGCACCTGAAAGAGCAGCCACCAAGGACGGCCTGGGACCAGGGAGGGCTGAAGTAAAGAGCTGGCGGGCCACATCGAGGCCCCCCTCCAGGGTCTGGAGGGAATGGTATGAGTCTGTGAGCCGGGCAGGCAAAGCCCTCTGGCGGGCTCCCCTGTGTGGAGGGACACACGGCAGGCATGTAGGTGCCACCTGCTGTGAGGCCAGCGAAGGAGTGAAATGCTGGGCCCTACCCTGGCTGCCATCAAGCATACTCAAGGCTCTCAAGGCAGCAGGCAGTGGGAACACCTGAAACAGGGCAGTGACCGTGAAAAGGAGAGACCTCCTGGGGTGTGGCCTACCGGAGTACTGGATCCAGCTCACAGCAACCGGCTCCGAGGCCACAGCAACCTGCCTGCTGAGTCTGTGTGGTATACCGCTCTCCAGAGGGTAGTCCTCCCTTCAAGGAAGATCACAGGGAAGAAAGGCCAATGGGTCTTACCAAGAGGAGAGGTAAAAAGCAAGCTAGAAATGAAGTGGACTTCCCACTCACTACATGGGTAATTTAACTGCAGTAAACTTGAAATTCTACCACAATCTCATTCAAAATCATAGGGAATCACTTTACAATGTTCATTGTGATTGGGTATATCATGAAACACATAAAGACTTCTCTGAAAAATGCACTAATGGACAATTTTCTCAATGCAAACAGAAGGGGACAGACCTCATACCCGGGCTGAGTGACACACACAGGCAGCGTACTGACCTCACACCTGGGCTGTGTGACGCACACATGTGTGTACAGGCCTCATACCCGGGTTGAGTGACACATACACACAGTGTACAGACTTCACACCTGGGCTGTGTGATACATGCATGTGGTGTAGCAGACCTATTAAACAGTAAAAATGTATCCTGTCTAACTGGATGTGAATACTATACTGGTATTTGTGAAGGTCCACAGAAACTGAAAACACACTTTCCACTTTCCTCTTCTTTATGGACAGCTGTTACAATACTATTCACTGGTCTTCTCCAAATAGTACACCTATCGTAAGTTGAAAAGTGGTTAGCAGTTCACAGCTAACCACAGAGTCACCGTTGAGTGCAGTCAAGTCTGCTATAAACATGCTCAGAACATGCTTTAGCCTGAAACTAGATAAAAGCCTATGTTATCATAAAGTGCTGCGTATCTCATGCTGTCAACTGAATACCTGGGCCAAAACTCTGGCCACACCCTGTAGTTCTTTCAGGCAGAGGTTGTTTCTCTGGTGACGGTAGTGCCCACTGGAGCCCCAGACCAGGGCCACTGCCCAGCATTCAACAGAGGCCACACCACACCTTGTTAGCCAAGACAAGGACCAAAATTCACTTGTGGTAGGTAGAATGTACCTATAAGTCTGATAGTACACACACTGGGTGGCAAGTAAAGGGTTACAAATGAATTCTACTACAGGTATGATGTTTCTGAATCTTGGTAAAGTTGAAAACTCATAACTAAATTATCATTAAATCAACTGTATTCAAATAACCTGTACCCAGTTTATACTTACCATGAAAATAACTACAGTACATTCTGGGTTTGCAAACAAAATGAAGGCAGGCTAAGGGGAGAAGTGCTTGAAATTACGAGTATCACCAGAGAGGGACAGCAGGCGCTGGGAGGGAGGAAGCAGAGGCCGTCTCTCAGGGCAGAAGCCACCTGCTGCCACGGCCAGACCAAGTCAGACTCCGCTTGCTCACTCTGCAAACTCAGGGGTCTTTTAGGAAATGTTGTTGTCTGCTCTTTTAATTAAGAGTCCCGCAAGTCCTGCCATCCAGGCTGCTAGAAAAATAGATACTGTTCACGTAAACAGTGTATTCAAGCTATGTTGTCAAAGTAGGTTCCCATGATCTATTTTTACATCTGAACTGTTACATTAGTGTTAAAAATAAATAGGGGGTGACATTGATCACGATGTGCTGCATTCATAAACTATTTTGTTAAGTGGCAGCTCCTTTGTACAAAAGCTTACAGGTATTTTTTAAAGAAAAACGTCTGGATGCTAGTGGCTCATATCTGTCATCCTAGCTCCTTAGGAGGCGGAGCTTGTTAGGATCACAGCTTGAGGCCAGTCCAGGCAGAAAAAGTTTAGGACATACCTTCTCAATAAATAACTAGACACAGAAATGTGAACCTATGATCCTAGCTGTTGGCAATCCTAACAACAGGTGAAAAACAGGAAAGAAAAAAAAATTACCCTATCAGAAAAAAAATCTCCAGCAGACAATAGGGCTGAAGACATTGCTCAGCAACTAGGATGATCCTCCTAGCAAGGGTGAGAACAAGAGTTCAAACTCAAGTCCCACCAAGAGTCCGGAGGGCTGGGCACAGCTGTCCTCTCAGCTACTCGGGAGGCGAAGGTAAAAGGACAATGCCAGGTAAAAGAGCAATGCCAGGTAAAATCCTGAGACCCTATCTCACAACACTAAAAACACAAAGGCTGGGGATGTCTCAAATGGCAGACCATTTGCCCAGTAAGTGCGAGGCCTTGAATTCAAACCTCCCATTGAAAAAATAATGCCTTGAGTTGCATCAGAGTGCAGGACTCTCACCAGGCTTGGATGCACTTTGCTGTAGGCAAAAGTAGAAAGCAGAAATGGAAGGAACAGCAAAAAGGCTTAAGGAAAGCATCAATGAACATGGGAAAACAATACCCACAACATCAAAAACACCATAGAAATCTATCCATCAGAAAGAATGACATTGTACTACTATTCATATGGGAACGGGAAGACTTGGGAAAAGGTTACATTAAGTGAAGTAAGCCAGATCCAGAAAACAGGTTGCACAGATCCTCTCATCTCTGGTAGCTAGAATGTGCTTTAGCAAACACACTGCATGGTAAGCAAGGGTTACAGATGAATTAACTAAATGAAGTATAATCAACTCTGTGGAGAGCACAAATAGTATACTTCTTTAAAAGACTAAGTCAAATTGAGCCAGTGGCTCATGCCTGTAATCCTAGCTACTCAGGAGGCTGAGATCTGAGGATCACAGTTCAATGCCAGCTCAGGCAGGAAAGTCCATGAGACTCTTATCTCCAATTAACCACTAGAAAACCAGAAATGGCGCTGAGGCTCAAGCAGTAGCGTGCTTGCCTTGAGCTGAAGAGCTGGGGGACAGCGCCCAGGCCCAGAGTTCAAGCCCCACAACCAGAAAAAAACGAAACAAAACAGACTAAGTCAAAGCCCAACAAAGTAAGTGCCAGAAAATGGATACTTGCAAGAGTGAAGGGTGGGGCCAACAGGAGAGGGGTAGAAGAATGAAGGGGATGGAAGGAAAACACAGGCAAGAATTGTATACACACAGAACTGAGAAGTATAAGAGGAGGAGGGGGTGACGATGTTGGAATGGTGACCCAGGTGTATCGTGCACATAACAGCTTTGTTATATTGCAAAAATAGTCAATACATAACCTAAAATTCAGATAAAGGAAGGGGAGGTTGGAGACTGCTGACAGGGGTGACACTGATCAAGGCACACTGTATTCATAAAGGGATTCAGTGAATTTGGCAAGTCCTTTGTACTCTACTTTAAAAAAAGCATCCAATTAAAAATTGGTAAATCTCTAAAAATGTTTCTCAAGAGAAGAAATATAACTGATCAACAAATAGACAGAAAATCTTCAGTATCACTAGGTGTTAGGGAAATGCCAATTAAAACTATAACGAGATACCAGAAAATTCTCAGCATCACTAGGTGTTAGGGAAATGCCAATTAAAACTATAACGAGATACCAGAAAATTCTCAGTATCACTAGGTGTTAGGGAAATGCCAATTAAAACTATAACGAGATACCAGAAAATTCTCAGTATCACTAGGTGTTAGGGAAATGCCAATTAAAAATATAAGGAGATACCATCTCACCCCAGTCAGAATGGTTTTCATCAAAAAATAAATGATAAATGCCAAAATGATGTGAGGGGGGAAAAAAGAGAACGCTCCCTTCCCTTATATATGATCGGTGTGAACACAAATTAGAAAAGAAAACAATATAGAGGCTCCACCAAAAGCTAAAAGATCAGAACTAGCATCTGATCCTGCTAACCCACTTGCCAAGTGCATACTGCCAAGAGAAGACACCACCACAGCAAAGAGCTGTCTGTGTTTACTCAGGCACGATGCGCACAGCTAGAATGGGGAACCCTTGCAGACAGCCATCATCAATGCATGAGCAGAGAACAAAATGTGTAAAGAATGAGACTGTATCATCCACAGTGAAAGTCTCACAGAGTCCGAGGTGGCCTCTGGTGCAGGGGCCTGCTGGCCGGGGGTGGACTCCATGTGTCCTGGCCATCCTAGCAGCACCAGCACCACGCAAGGCCTCACCGCTGCTGCCCAAGAGGTGTGAATAACCACGCGTCAGTTATTTTAACAAAAATTATGTATTTCAAAATTGTTGAAGTGGTAAAAATACCAGATGTCTGAAAAATTGTTAACATGAGGCCATCAAAGGGTATTTATGTAATTACTCATATCTGCGTAGTCTTATACCTGTACAAAAAAGTCTGTAGAAACATTTCAAGAGTCTGTGTTTGCTCGCACTGGGACTTGAACTCTAAGCCTTACGCGCGCCTGACTGGAGCCCCAGTGGGAGCCATGTCTCCAGCCTGGCTATTTTGGTGACAGTCTTTCAGACTTTTCTGCCACACCTGCCTTCTGTGCACAATACTCGGGATTTCAGGCATGAGCCACCAGTGCTGGGCTTGTGAATCATTCGAAGTTACTTCAAACAGATAAATTAGGTTACATACCATTTGTAATTGTTCTTGCATGTTGAAGACTTTCTGTCACCGTGCTTGATGTTAGTCTTTGGTGAAAACATGGTTACACTGTGGGAAGAAAACCCATGACACCCTTCAAGAGTTCAGTCCACACGTCATCCAGGGCAAGAACACGCCTTCATATCAGCATTGATGGCTCCAGCCATCCCCTGCTCCTCCCAGCCCCTCCCTGCTCCCAACTCACCTCCCACTGCACCGTTCCTCTGTTGTCCCATCTAAAATCCTGAGGCTCCAAAGTCCCAGGGAAGAACATAGGAACAACATGGTCTGGCAGCTGCCTACACTCGCAATGTGCCTTACACAGCAAATCCTGGCAGTCCACCCTTCACAGGCTGGACACCAACAGCCAATGAGCCCTCCTCCTCCTCCCTGTAACACCCTTCACAGGCTGGACACCAACAGCCAATGAGCCCTCCTCCTCCTCCCTGTAACACCCTTCACAGGCTGGACACCAACAGCCAATGAGCCCTCCTCCTCCTCCTCCTCTTCCTCCTCCTTTTCCTCCTCCTTTTCCTCCTCCTCCTCCCTATAACACTCTTCACAGGCTGGACACCAACAGCCAATGAGCCCTCCTCCTCCTCCTCCTCTTCCTCCTCCTCCTCCTCCCTATAACACTCTTCACAGGCTGGACACCAACAGCCACTGAGCCCTCCTCCTCCTCCTCCTCCTCCTCCTCCTCCCCCTCCATGTGACACCCTTCACAGGCTGGACACCAACAGCCACTGATCCACCCTCAGTCACTCATGCACAATTTTTCTGAAGCAAGGAATTTAGACTACATCCTTTACTCGCGCATCTTTGCATTCATTATCCCTCTTCACTATGCATCCATCTCTCCATCACCCATGGCTGTCCTTCTCAACATCCATCTATAAGAGCCTGATAAGTGGGCAGAGATGCCAAATGCTTTCCCAGATGTGAGGCTTCACAGAACAGTCAATAAGTAGAGCACAAGCGTGCTTATCACTGTCCAGGCCAGCAGAAAGAGTGAGGCAGGAAAGGACCAGAAAGAGGACTGGAGCTGCTGTCATACAGAGTAGCCCAGGACAGAGACTGGAAAAAGCTCCAGACAGAACCGAGGACAGTGGTGGAAGTATAAACTGGAAGAGAAAGATGTGAGGTTGGAAAACCAAAGGGGGCTAGAGAGCCACCAATGGAGGCCATGTGTAGCGGAGCACAGAGCCACCAAAGGTGACCACGCTGTCCTATCACTGTGCAAGGACACACCAGAGACCACGGTGCTGTTCATCACTGAGCACTGACACACCAGAGACCATGGTGCTGTTCATCACTGAGCACTGACACACCAGAGACCGCTGTGCTGTTCATCACTGAGCACTGACACACCAGAGACCGCTGTGCTGTTCATCACTGTGCACTGACACACCAGAGACCACGGTGCTGTTCATCACTGAGCACTGACACACCAGAGACCGCTGTGCTGTTCATCACTGTGCACTGACACACCAGAGACCACGGTGCTGTTCATCACTGTGCACTGACACACCAGAGACCACGGTGCTGTTCATCACTGAGCACTGACACACCAGAGACCACGGTGCTGTTCATCACTGAGCACTGACACACCAGAGACCACGGTGCTGTTCATCACTGAGCACTGACACACCAGAGACCACGGTGCTGTTCATCACTGTGCACTGACACACCAGAGACCACGGTGCTGTTCATCACTGTGCACTGACACACCAGAGACCACGGTGCTGTTCATCACTGAGCACTGACACACCAGAGACCACGGTGCTGTTCATCACTGTGCACTGACACACCAGAGACCGCTGTGCTGTTCATCACTGTGCACTGACACACCAGAGACCACGATGCTGTTCATCACTGAGCACTGACACACCAGAGACCACGGTGCTGTTCATCACTGAGCACTGACACACCAGAGACCACGGTGCTGTTCATCACTGAGCACTGACACACCAGAGACCGCTGTGCTGTTCATCACTGTGCACTGACACACCAGAGACCACGGTGCTGTTCATCACTGAGCACTGACACACCAGAGACCATTGTGATGTTTCATTGGTGTCCACAGTGACACCAGAGACCAATGTGCTGTTTCCATCAGCATGCAGGGACCAGAGAGGGTTTGAAGGTAACATAAACATATCTGGCCACTGTGGGAATCACAAGCACAGTCTATGTTAGATGTAGGATGGAGACACTTGAAAGTGTTCATTTGAAAGGAAGAGACTCGTGCAGCACTGAGAACTACAGGGAGACTCTGTTGTAGTTTTCTGCAAATCAACTATGGATCATGCTGCTATTATTTCTTCTTCTGCAAAGTCTCATGATGAAGCGTGCTACCTTAGGTTTTGACTCTCTGGCCTTCAAGAAATGGCCTGGGGCTTGGGCTCTGGTGGGTTACATCATTTTAGAGCATCACCATTACCTCCTAAATGCCACCAGCTCTTCCTAACACGGGGAAGGACTCACAAGGACTTGCCAAGCTGGTGCAAGCCTCTGGGTGAGTGCACTTGAGAGCTATTTGCTGCTGCAAACACTTCACAGTACCCAGGGGCCCTGTGCCAGCCTGATCAACACATCACATCACAACACAGCAGGCCTGTGCCAGGCGGGAGGTACTCACCGGGGTGCTGATGCGTATCCAGACGACCTGACCTTAGTGTGGAAAACCAGGGGCTGGTCCTGCACAACTCTCTGCTTTGCTGCATGAAATTAACATTACGAGGAAACAGAAAAAACAGATTCACTAAAATGAAGCTCCATACCAAAGTCAAACAAACCAATACAAGCCAAAGAAGATGAAACCAAGAGGAGCAAGGCACAAGGAAGCAACATAAATGCTCATGTCCTTCTTCCTGTGAATTGCATGTATTCCACGCATGCCAAAAGCTCCCTGTACCATGCTAGCCACAGAACACAGCTGCACAAACAAAGGGTGCGGACACAGGTCATTCTGTCCTGGAAAAGCTAAGGTCAGCTAATCAGGGCTGAGCACCATGTTTCCGTGAATACGAGACTGAGGACAGTCATTCTGTGAACAGAGACGTCCACCACACACGGTTTCTCCATGAACACAAGACTGAGGACGGTCACTGTGAACATGGATGTCCACCACACACGGTGTCTCCATTACCACACGAGACTGAGGACAGTCATTCTGTGAACATGGACACCCACCACACACACTGTCTCCATGAACACGAAACTGAGGACGGTCACTCTGTGAACAGAGACGTCCACCACACACACTGTCTCCATGACCACACGAGACAGAACAGTCACTCTGTGAACATGGACGTCCACCACACGCAGTGTCTCCATGAACACGAGACTGAGAACAGTCACTCTGTGAACAGAGACGTCCACCACACACGCAGTGTCTCCATGACAACACGAGACTGAGGACAGTCACTCTGTGAACAGAGACGTCCACCACACACACTGTCTCCAATTATCACACGAGACTGAGGACGGTCACTCTGTGAACAGAGACGTCCACCACACACGCTGTCTCCATGAACACGAGACTGAGGATGGTCACTCTGTGAACAGAGACATCCACCACACACGCTGTCTCCATGAACACGAGACTGAGGACGGTCACTCTGTGAACAGAGACGCCCACCACACACGCTGTCTCCATGACCACGAGACTGAGGACAGTCACTCTGTGAACAGAGACATCCACCACACACGCTGTCTCCATGAACACGAGACTGAGGACAGTCACTCTGTGAACAGAGACGTCCACTACACACGCAGTGTCTCCATGACCACACGAGACTGAGAACAGTCACTCTGTGAACAGAGACGTCCACCACACACGCTGTCTCCATGAACACAAGACTGAGGACAGTCACTCTGTGAACAGAGACATCCACCACACACGCTGTCTCCATGAACACGAGACTGAGGACAGTCACTCTGTGAACAGAGACGTCCACTACACACGCAGTGTCTCCATGACCACACGAGACTGAGAACAGTCACTCTGTGAACAGAGACGCCCACCACACACGCTGTCTCCATGACCACAAGACTGAGGACGGTCACTCTGTGAACAGAGACATCCACCACACACGCTGTCTCCATGAACACAAGACTGAGGACGGTCACTCTGTGAACAGAGACGTCCACCACACACGCTGTCTCTATGACCACAAGACTGAGGACGGTCACTCTGTGAACAGAGACATCCACCACACACGGTGTCTCCATGAACACAAGACTGAGGACGGTCACTCTGTGAACAGAGACGTCCACCACACACGCTGTCTCTATGACCACACGAGACAGAACAGTCACTCTGTGAACAGAGACATCCACCACACATGCTTCTCCATGACCATGAGACTGAGGACGGTCACTCTGTGAACATGGACGTCCACCACACACGGTGTCTCCATGAACATGAGACTGAGGACGGTCACTCTGTGAACAGAGACATCCACCACACATGCTTCTCCATGACCATGAGACTGAGGACGGTCACTCTGTGAACATGGACGTCCACCACACACGCTGTCTCCATGACCATGAGACTGAGGACGGTCACTCTGTGAACATGGACGTCCACCACACACGGTGTCTCCATGAACATGAGACTGAGGACGGTCACTCTGTGAACAGAGACATCCACCACACACGGTGTCTCCATGAACACGAGACTGAGGACAGTCACTCTGTGAACAGAGACATCCACCACACACGGTGTCTCCATGACCACGAGACTGAGGACGGTCACTCTGTGAACAGAGATACCCACCACACACGCTGTCTCCATGAACACAAGACTGAGGACAGTCACTCTGTGAACAGAGACATCCACCACACACGGTGTCTCCATGAACACGAGACTGAGGACGGTCACTCTGTGAACAGAGACATCCACCACACACGGTGTCTCCATGACCACGAGACTGAGGACGGTCACTCTGTGAACAGAGATACCCACCACACACGCTGTCTCCATGAACACAAGACTGAGGACAGTCACTCTGTGAACAGAGACGTCCACCACACATGCTGTCTCCATGACCACACGAGACAGAACAGTCACTCTGTGAACATGGCTGTCCACCACACGCGCTGTCTCCATGAATAAGAGACTGAGGACAGTCACTCTGTGAACAACAGGGGCATCTACCACACACGGTGTCTCCATGAACAGGAGACTGAGGACACTCTGTAAACAGGGACGTCCACCACACTCGGTGTCTCTGTGAAGAGCAATGGGGACCACAAAGTCTCTCTCTGAACAGAGATATCCACCACACAGTCTGTCCGTGAACAGGGACATGACCACACATATTTCCTCCATGAACATCAATGTTAATTTCATAGCCTCTCTATGAACAAGCCTCACTGTTCACAGTTGTTTAATGTGCAGAGTAAGAAGGATAAGCTACTAATAGCCTAAGGAGGGCACTCTAATGGAAACAGCACTTCCCATCCAACTTTTACTGTGTGTGTTTCCCATAGCACTGCCACTTGTTTAATTTACCACAAACATGTACAAACATCAAACAATTTTTCCAACAAGACTTATTTTTTGTGAATTAACTCTTGGTGTTTCAGATGAACATTCTCTACAATAAAACAACTTTAGAAAATGGACAAGTGAATAACATTGTGTGACTCTAAAACTATTTCTTTTTTCACAAAGGATCACAGTTGTATTTCTGGTGCTGTTCAAGGCTGACCACTCTGTCATGTTCCTACAGGTTCTGTGAGCTCATGAGCAGAGTAAAGTCACATCTCTGACTTTTTACAGTACCCCAGCCTGGCACCAGTGAGACTCTGCCCTCCCCAGAAGAGATACAGATCAAGAGGTGCAACTTCCTGCTCCACAGAACAGAGCTCCAACTGGCCAGCCCAGGCCTGAGGAGTGGGGGGCAGGGGGAGGTAGCAGGCTGCCTAGCAAGTAACAAGGGTACCTTTATTGACAGAGAGGGGTACTCAGGTGCGATGTCTATAAGCAGAATATAACAATGAGCTGAGAACCTTTGTCTTTTCAACTGGGTCAGGTTAAGCTTAATAAGACTGATTAAGATGGTTCATTAAAGTAAAAATAAGTATAAATGGTTCACCATGCAAAGTAACTGGGACATGATATAGTCCACCACCTTAAAACAAGGGATATTTCTCTGGAAAAAAAAAAGAAGTATTATGTGGACTGTTTGTGGATGTGTACAACATACTACCCAAAACATGCTTTTGAGTGTGTAATATTGAAGGCCCACCCTGTAAACAGCTGCAGGGTCATTAGGAAAAAAGTACCCTAAGCAAGCATGTCTTTTTTTTTTTTTTTTGGGGTCCGGTCGTGGGGCCTGAACTCTGGGCCTGGGCGCTGTCCCTCAGCTCTTCAGCTCAAGGCTAGCACTCTACCACTTGAGCCACAGCGCCACTTCCTGCTTCTTCTGTTTATGTGGTGCTGAGGACTCGAACCCAGGGCCTCAGGCATGCAAGGCAAGCACTCTACCACTGAGCCACCTTCCCAGCCCCAAGCATGCCTGTCTTATCAGCACCTTGCATATCCCTACCACAGACCAGATGCAATAAACATTATAGAGGGGCAGAGGCATCTGCTGACAGAGGTACCTGTGTGCACCTGTGTTCCGGGAGGGCTGATACTGACCAGGTCGTTTTTGATTAGCAGCCTTGAGACTTTTTTCCTTAGAAATTCCAAAATGCAGTGGAGAAGTGGGTAGGACACAGGAGCTAAAGGAGAAACAGACCATGGGATGAAGGTAAACAGTGACAGAATTGTTTCAATGAGATGTGCATTTTTAGGGCATCTGTAAATGCAAATTCATGCAAATATGGGTATATAATATTTGGAAATAAAAAGCATTTATCCATATAAGAAAAATATTAATATGTTTTAAGGAAAGTACTGTTTGTGATTCATGTTTTATTCTGAAATAAAGCAGCATTTTGTATTAAACTACAATCCGTGTGTTTTAAATGAGACAAAAGTAATGTAAAAACTATCATTTCTTCCACATAGGATCAGCATAGTTGCATTTCCTGGATCCTGGATTCAACCTTTATTTCTTCTCATGGAAAGGGACTCAGAACACTGCTGGCTCTCTCTCTCTCTCTCTCTCTCTCTCACACACACACACACACACACACACACACACACACACACACACACACACACGCTCACACTTCTGACTGACCTGGGCAGCACGGACAGCACTGGCCCCTCCCAGAGACACTGCTGTGAGTGCAGCAGCATGGACAGGCTGATTTCCAACACCGCACCCTGACTCCCAAACATGGACGTGAGTACACAAAATGCCTGTGGGGACAGTCACAACACCCTTAGCGAGCTGTGGATGAGTGTCGGCCTCAAGTCCCCCGAGATGGGCCCTGCCCACTCCACCATGGCTGACCTTGTCACCGACTCCGTCGCTCACCACCGCACAGGACCCGGCAACCCGGATGCTCAGGCCCCGAAAATCTTAATTTTGAACAAAGATAAACGAAGTTTGAAGAGCGAATACAGGGGAGAAAAACGTGCTAGTGTGGCCCTGTTATGAGTGCCTAGCACACATCAGCACGGAGGGAGCAGCAGGGGATGTGACGAGGAAGGAGACCGGTCTTCCTGTCACACAGCCAGCAGGGTAGGACACCAAACATCTGCAGAGCACTGCATGAAGGAGCAGTGGGCAGCGGGCGGTAGGCCGGAGCCTTGGCAGCCGGAACCCATACCCAGAGAAGCGGGGAAGAGCAGTCTTGAAGCTGTGGCCTTTGAATTCACCTACACAACAGCTCCTGATGTCCTGAGTAAATAGCTAGCTACTGATTAAATTTACCCACAAATTCAAATTGTGATATTTTCTATCCTTAAACCTTTACTAGCCCAGCTTACTGTTTAAGAAAACCCTCGGTACAGGAGATGATACTTGGTGAATATATTTACCCTTGAAGCGTAAGTCAGCCTCTAATTCCAAGTTTGCCAAGTTAAACACAAATAAGCCAACCGGGCTTCCGATCCACACACACTCAGCACTACCAGAGATGCATCTGAAAACAAAGAGGAGGCATCAATTCCTCCTCTCTTCCCCGGGGTGAATGCACAGGTCCTCACTGCCCACCAGCCCCCCACGCGCCCATGCGTACGCCTCACTGTGGATAACCCAGGCCGACACCCATTCCAACCAGGCAGCGAGCTGGGAGACCTGGGCTGGCTTCCCGGCACCCAATGCTTGCCACCTGGAGACAGAGTCTCACAGCCCAACCCCGCCTGGCTCTGGCCCCCGTGTTTTCTTCCAAGGTTACAGAAGTTGGGCTCACTGCCCAGGCCAGGGGCCTGGCATGCAGCTCAAGGCCACCACAGCCCTGCTCTAAAAGTTCTGCAGGCACCTGGTAAAGGAGGTAACCAGCACAGACAGTAGCCTCCCTGGGTCCTGAGGTACAGCACACCAGTATGCAGCACAGATCTGTGGGTCATCGATAGACAATCAACAGACCTCATGCAAGCCTACAGGCTTACAGATGCTCCCAGCTGAGACCTGATGCTCCAGTGCTCCCATCTGCCCCACCTCCCTCGGCTGCACCCCATCTCTGCAACACCCGGGCTGAAGTCTTAGATGTGATGGCGAGGCCCAGCACTGGGCGCCAGAGGGATCACTGCGTGTCCACTGGGCAGCCCGCAGCACGGCTAGTGCCTTCCTGCAGCAGCTGGAGGAATGTGGCCTCCAGGGCCACGACAGCCTGGAGCAAACTGCCCTGGGGCTTTTATTCCCTCTCAAAGCGCATCTCTCCCGCTGCCAGAGCTCATGAATAGAACTGAACACTCTAACCACACACAAGACCCCCTTGGGTTCCCCAGGGTTTACACAGAAATAAGAACAACTCATTTAGGGTTCATTTAAAATACATGGTACATGTGGGGAAAAGAGGGAGTTTAGAGTAAGTTATGATTGCCTACTTTCTTTCTAAATCAAAGTCCTACTACAAAGGCAAACATCTGTCTAGATTTGGGTGGGCAAAATTAAAATAATCAAATTCCTGGTGACACAACTAAAATCATCCGAATTTACCAAATCTCAGGCTTTAAATACATGAATCTAAGTAATCACTTATAGTCAGTAAAGTAGGGACCAGAGAAGCTGGTATTTTTGCCACCCTAAGCTGCAGGTTTCAATCACACGTACGTGCCAGGCTCTGCTGCCAGGGCGTGCGGAAGTGCGCAGTGAGAAAGAGTGAGGACTGGCAGTGCTGCTTCAGCCTCTTCTGTGTCCGCCTCCTTCCCACGCAGCTGCCAGCCCCCTCCTAGGGATCAGAGAGGCATTGTTCAAGTTTAAAGCAGAGAACTGGTTCAGTGGGATGCTACAGCAAGTCTAACCCACAAGTCAAAAACAAAACCCCTTGAAAATACGGTAAATGTAAAAAGTTACACTGTAGATTCTGAAGTTCATGGAGGATAGAATTTTAACAGATTGAGCCAAGAAAGCGAGTGGGGGAAAAGACTTTCAATGTGAAGTCATTATCTCCATAGTTCCTAAAGTAGAAATGTATATTTATGAGAGAAATATTGAAAACCAAGGCTTAAGGCCTTAGGGAAAAGTAAGAATATAGCATAGGTCAGTAATGTCTAAGCTACTATAAAACTTATTTAAAGCTAAAATGAAAAGAATACATGAAGAATAAGACAAATGTGTAGGGAGCAAAGTAACATGAACATTAACACATGAGCCAGAGACAGAGTCAATCCCCCTGGAGAACAAGTGTCAAGACTTGGAGTGGAGGCTCCCTCTCCCAGGTGGGATACGCCCAGCCTCAGGGGACCCAGGCCCTCAAAAGCTGCAGGCCCCCACCCAGGGGTGTCCTAGGTTCCCCTCAACATCCCTCCACACGGCAGCACACCACGGACCTCCTGCCACCTGAAGTCAGGAGCCCGATGGGCAAGCCTGCACCCTGGTTCACAGCACACACGGGACTCATGGTGTCTGAGGTCAGGAGCCCGATGGGCTAGCCTGTACCCTGGTTCACAGCACACACAGGACTCGTGGTGTCTGAGGTCAGGAGCCCGATGGTCTAGCCTGCACTCTGGTTCACAGCACACACAGGACTCGTGGTCTGAGGTCAGGACCCTGGTCTAGCCTGCACCCTGGTTCACAGCACACACAGGACTCGTGGTGTCGTGGTGTCTGAGGTCAGGAGCCCGATGGGCTAGCCTGCACCATGGTTCACAGCATACATGGGACTTGTGGTGTCTGAGGTCATGACCCTGGTCAAGCCTGCACCATGGTTCACAGCACACACAGGACTCGTGGTGTCTGAGGTCAGGACCCTGGTCAAGCCTGCACCCTGGTTCACAGCACACACAGGACTCGTGGTGTCTGAGGTCAGGACCCTGGTCTAGCCTGCACTCTGGTTCACAGCACACACAGGACTCGTGGTCTGAGGTCAGGACCCTGGTCTAGCCTGCACCCTGGTTCACAGCACACACAGGACTCGTGGTGTCTGAGGTCAGGATCCTGGTCTAGCCTGCACGCTGGTTCACAGCACACACAGGACTCATGGCATCAAGTCAGGACTCCGGTCAAGCCTGCACCCTGGTTCACAGCACACACAGGACTCGTGGTGTCTGAGGTCAGGATCCTGGTCTAGCCTGCACTCTGGTTCACAGCACACACGGGACTCGTGGTGTCTGAGGTCAGGACCCTGGTCTAGTCTGCACTCTGGTTCACAGCACACACAGGACTCGTGGTGTCTGAGGTCAGGATTCTGGTCTAGTCTGCACTCTGGTTATCAGCACACACAGGACTCGTGGTGTCTGAGGTCAGGATCCTAGTCTAGCCTGCACTCTGGTTCACAGCACACACGGGACTCGTGGTGTCTGAGGTCAGGACCCTGGTCTAGCCTGCACTCTGGTTCACAGCACACACAGGACTCGTGGTGTCTGAGGTCAGGACCCTGGTCTAGTCTGCACTCTGGTTCACAGCACACACAGGACTCGTGGTGTCTGAGGTCAGGATTCTGGTCTAGTCTGCACTCTGGTTATCAGCACACACAGGACTCGTGGTGTCTGAGGTCAGGATTCTGGTCTAGTCTGCACCCTGGTTCACAGCACACACAGGACTCGTGGTGTCTGAGGTCAGGACTCTGGTCTAGCCTGCACCATGGTTCACAGCACACGCAGGACTCGTGGTGTCTGAGGTCAGGACCCTGGTCTAGCCTGCACCCTGGTTCACAGCACACACAGTACTCGTGGTGTCTGAGGTCAGGACTCTGGTCTAGTCTGCACTCTGGTTATCAGCACACACAGGACTCGTGGTGTCTGAGGTCAGGATCCTGGTCTAGCCTGCACTCTGGTTATCAGCACACACAGGACTCATGGCATCAAGTCAGGACTCTGGTCTAGCCTGCACCCTGGTTCACAGCACACACAGGACTCGTGGTGTCTGAGGTCAGGACCCTGGTCTAGTCTGCACTCTGGTTATCAGCACACATAGGCCACGTGGTGTCAAGTCCAGACCCTGGACCTTTTCTAATCAAGGAATCTCGTATTGTACTTCCTCCCCAGCCAACCTAACAGAGGCTGTGAGGATCTGATTGTGAGTGCTGCATTTCAGCTGGAAGCCCCATGAGACGCAGCAGCTCACCTGGCAGTTTGTGTGGTCCAGGCTTTCCCCTTCTGGTGGAGAAGGTCTCACTTTTCTTCTTTAAGTGTACACATGCCACACGGCGATAATGGTATCCTTCAATCAAACTGAAGATCTGAAGCTACAAAAACAAAGCACATGAAGATGTGAATCTCCTTCAGTACATGATACTTACATACTTACTACAAGCAGTAAAATTCCCGAGAGAACACTGGGCTGGGGCACCCCCACCGACTCAGGGCCCCTGCTCAGAAGGGCCAGCAGATCCAAGGACAGCCCTATCACACAAGCTCCTCAAGACACACCTGGAATGAGGTCCCCTATACATGTCCCACAGCCCTTGGCACAGGCTCAGCCATAAACATCTCTGACTTCTTTCCAGAGGTAAGACACAGGACAGTAGTAACCACCCTTGTCAAAAAGCATATAAGTTATCTTAGGTCCTTACTGTACCTTTGTCATATTTATACCAAGTTTTATCCATGCTTTGTGAAATAAATATTGTTCACACTTTTTAATTATTCACATTAAAAACAGAAACAGGTGTGGCACTGGTGATGGTTCATGACTCATGAGGCCGAGGCTGAGGCTCATAGTTCTAAGTCAGACCCAGCAGGAAAGCCTGTGAGACAAAATAACAGAAGTAGAGAAGTGGAGCTGTAGCTCAAGCAGTAGAGTGCTAGCCTTGAGCAAAAAAGCTCAGGGACCGTGCCAAGTCCTGAGTTTAAAGTACCAGAAAAAAAAGTACAGATAAAATACTTCCAGTCTTCAAAAACATATAAAGCAGATGCTGATGGCTAAACAGGTGGTTCTCAACTTTGAAACATTCTGGAGTCCACATGGTGCTTCTAGAACATGCACACCACCAGGTGCTCTGCACCCTGGGGGCCCAACCACCGCGTCCCTGCCAGGGTGACAGAGTGCACAGTGTGACCAAGCTTCCTCAGCCTTGCTCCAAGGAACCAGAAAATGGAGGCCTCCCATGTCATGTTCTCACCTGGCCATCAGCACACCCGGTGACAAGCTGCCTGCTTTCCCCATGGATGAGAAGACTTAGGAGGGGGTACGCTGTAGAGGTGAGCAGAGGACAGTCACATTCGTGGACACTCCTACCACCAGGCTTTCTGATGATAAGCTCAGTGTTTCCCACCAGTATGTAAAAGTGTATGTGAAGACAAATTTTGAAAACTCTGTCAGTGAGCAGGAAGAAAGGGAAATTGTCCCAAGAATAAAGAATGGGTGGCTTTCACTCCACTGGCCACAGGCAGACCTGGTAAGTCAAACCTCACCAGCTTACAGAAAACCTGTGAGCCAGAGCAGGTCTCCTGGTGACTGCTGGCTCCCAGAGGAGCTCCGCGCAGGGAGAACTGCATAGGGGGAGAAGGAAATCATGGGCTTATGATGAGAACAGCAAGTAAGTAGATGTCTTGTTTAATTTGACAAAGTACTGCATGAAATGCCATTCAGTTAAAAGAGTCTAAACTGTCAAGAATTTAGGAGAATTAGATAAATGAAGATTAACACTGTAGACTGTAACTAAGCTACTAATGATTTCAAAGATCAAGTTTATCATTGTTTTCATGACAGCCAAATAATTTTGCATAATTAACTTCAGAAAATGTGCTTTACCCTAAGAGTGGTGAACAATTCTGAGTTGCCCATGGGTAAACTGACCCCAGGGAGATCACTGGATCTTGGGTAAACTGATCTCAGGGAAATCACTGGATTTTGAGTAATCTGACCTCAGGGAGATCAATGGATCTTGGGTAATCTGACCTCAGGGAAATGGCTAGATCATAGGTAAATTGACCTCAGGGAGATCACTGGACCTTAGGTAAACTGACCCCAGGGAGATCACTGGACCTTAGTAAACTGACCCCAGGGAGATCGCTGGAGTTTAGGTAAACTGACCCCAGGGAGATCGCTGGAGTTTAGGTAAACTGACCCCAGGGAGATCACTGGACCTTAGTAAACTGACCCCAGGGAGATCACTGGAGTTTAGTAAACTGATCCCAGGGAGATCACTGGATCTTAGGTAAACTGACCCTAGGGAGATCACTGGACCTTAGGTAAACTGACCCTAGGGAGATCACTGGACCTTAGTAAACTGACCCCAGGGAGATCACTGGAGTTTAGGTAAACTGATCCCAGGGAGATCACTGGATCTTAGGTAAACTGACCCTAGGGAGATCACTGGACCTTAGGTAAACTGACCCCAGGGAGATCACTGGACCTTAGGTAAACTGACCCCAGGGAGATCACTGGACCTTAGGTAAACTGACCCCAGGAAGATCACTGGACCTTAGTAAACTGACCCCAGGGAGATCGCTGGAGTTTAGGTAAACTGATCCCAGGGATATCACTGGAGTTTAGGTAAACTGACCCCAGGGAGATCACTGGACCTTAGGTAAACTGACCCCAGGGAGATCACTGGACCTTAGGTAAACTGACCCCAGGGAGATCACTGGACCTTAGGTAAACTGACCCCAGGGAGATCACTGGACCTTAGTAAACTGACCCCAGGGAGATCACTGGAGTTTAAGTAAACTGATCCCAGGGAGATCACTGGACCTTAGGTAAACTGACCCCAGGGAGATCACTGGATCTTACGTAAACTGACCCCAGGAAGATCACTGGATCTTGGGTAAACTGACCCCAGGGAGATCGCTAGATCATGGGTAAATTGGAGAAAAGTAATTCCACCAGGTCATCATGGCATCTGTATGATCTTTAAATGGCACTTGCATGAAAAGAAAAGAACCACATCATGCTTATATTTATTCGTCTTCCCATGAAAACATGGCACATGTGAAGAACACATCCAACATAGGAGGTGACGCTAGGGGATGAGTTCTAGGGGATATGGAACCTGCAGGTGACCCCTGCCCAGACTATACACACCATGTCCCAGGCTCCTGGGACAGCCACACGGAGACTTCTAATGCATCAGGCATACATCTTTGTAACCTGGTGTTCATTTCACTTATCACCAGAAAGATAGTCTGAAGAAAGCACATAGATCATGAGGTCTAACCCATCCCCTAAGTCCCCACACACTGGACCGTGAGGGACTCAGGGCCTATAAATGCTTCCATCTCCAGGCCTTGTGTCCACACAGGAACAGGGGGCTGATGGCTGCCTGCAGCCAGTATCTTACCTAAGAGCAAACATGCTTTGTCCAGTTTCCTGAAACAGAGGCTCAGACTTCTAACTAATGCTGATTTTAAACTAAAAACTTCAAAGACACTGAAGTGAAATACATCATCACATGGTTGTTTAAAGGTAAGACTGACAGATTTGGACCACTGTATCTCTGAGAGATAACAGATTATGTGAGAATCTGGTTACATCGCCTATTTAGTGAAAATGTAGCCAATTTTTAATTTACCTGTTAAAATGGATGAACTGTATATTAATGATCCCATACAATGGTCCCAGACCTTCGGATAGACAGACATTGCATTAGAAGAGGTAAACGTGTTGCCATTATTGCCAAAGTGTGAACTATATTCTTTCCAATGACACGTTAATCTAGGTGAACAATTATCAAACATAATAAAGATGATCATAAATAAAACTTTGGAAACATGATACAGGATGTCAGAATCATGAAGAAAAAGAAATCTCAACCCTTTCAGAGTGACCACCTTCCGATTTGAGCAAACTGAAGCCACACACCAGAAGGGTGGAACAAGTCCTGCACGGGTTTATCAACACCCAAGGAGGGCGAAGTGAAAGGTGATGGTGTCTGCTGCAGGCCCTGCGCCTGCTGTGGAGAGTGCTCAACCACAGAGCTGCATCCGGCTGGGGTGTGCACACGTGCTTACCACGTACACACCATGTCCTATATGGTCGGCACAGACTTCCAAAACAGCCACCAGTCATGCAAAAGGAATCATTGTGTCCATGAGACATACACAAATGTAAACACAACGGAGCTTGTCCAACAACGCTGGCAAGCAGCGCAGCCCAGACTCAGGAAAAGCAACAGCTGTTGTGTACAGCCAGTTTTCACGGGACAGGCATTTCTACAGTCTCAGTCTGCTCATATAGAGTCACTACCCTCAACTTTTCTTTCAGGACAATGTGTAACGTCCTCCCTTCATCAGCAAAATGGCAATGTGAGAGCAAGCTCACCAGGGGCTCACTGAAAGTGAGCTAGCATTTTACTGTATCTCTGCAAAAGCGCAGGTACTGTGGAGCCCTCCTCTCATGGACACTGGCTCTTCTGCTCTTGGTTACTGGGGGACAACAGAGTAACTAAACCGATGCCTCGCTTCAAGGTCCTGGATTGGAGGAGGGCCCTGTATCCTTAAGCCTGTGTAGCAATCCCAGATGCCCAAGAACTGTGCTGTGGACATTGAACCCCAAGCCCAGTCAGAACATCAAGATGCCACTTACACACAGAAATGGGTGAAGATAGCCTTCTTGCATTGTGTGGTAGAAATAAAACTGCATGTGTAACAGTGACCAACCACAACATTACAAATGTGCTCATAACTAGAGCTGCTTGACATCCAGCCTACCTTAAAGCTCCTGTCTTCAGACACTGAGATGAGCACTTCTGCTTGCCAGGGACAGAACGCCACTGCTGTCACTGGGCCACCGTGGCCCTGCAGTACCACCCGCACAGACTGCGTCTGCAAGGATTTACAAGTGACTCTGGGACACTGTGGGATTGGCCACCATCAGAAAGTCATAAGTGCATCAGAAAGAGTTTCTGTTAAGACAGACTTCACTTTACCTGTCCCCTCTTAGAAATTAACTTCTGATGCCCGTGCTGTGCGTTGAGAAATACTCAGGCAACTAAAAAAGATGAAAACTAGCCAAAGCTGATCTGACCTAAATGTAACCCTGACACATCCATGTTTCCCACCTTCCCAGAAACCTGTTCTCTACCATCCAGAACCCAGTCCTGAGAAGCAGTGCTCAGCCTTTTCTTCTCCAATGTCTCTCCCATCTGTTTCTCTATCACTGTCTCTCTGTCTCTGAGTCTCAGTTTTCGTTTTTCTTCAGTATCCACCTGTCTCTGTCTCAGGCTCCCTGTCTGCCTGTCTCTCTCTGTATTTCTCTTTATCGCCTTATCTCTCGGGCTTTTCTGTCCCTCTTCTACCCTCTACCTTTTAGAAAGCATCTATCCTACATCTCTCATCTCCCTCAGCAGCTACTCTCTCTAGGGAGTTACTAGAGCACAGTAAGATAGCATATCTAGCAGCACTCTGATTGAGCTGAGTGAATGATCCTCTCCTCAAATTCTAAACTTCCCCTAGCCCAAAACAGTGTCCTAGAAGCCAGTGGCATGAGCTCATATTCCATGATGTTGTCTGAGAAATGTCAGTGAGAGCACCAGAGCTCTTGACAGCCAGAGACATCCCACTTTGCATGGCTGGGGACTCTGGCAGTTATGGGAGACCTCACCTTGATCTCATACAACTTAACCCAGATAGGAAGCACACTGACAACACACTGGGGAAGCTGGGCCAGATGGATGAATGGGTGGATGGACTGATGGATGGGTAGGTGGATAGATGGGTGGGTAGATGGATAGATGGATGGATGGATGGATGAGTGGATGATGAATGAATGGGTAGGTGGAAGGATGGATGGATGGGTGGGTGGATGGATGTTTGGTGGATGGATGGGGGATGGAAGGAGGAGAGAGGTGGATGGTGGATGGATGGGTGGGTGGGTGGGTAGATGCATGGATAGATAGATGGGTGGGTGGTAGATGGATGGACAAATGGATGGGTGGATGGATGGATGGTAGATGGAGGGAGGAATGGAGGGATGGTAGATGCAAGGAGGGATGGATGGATGGATGGTAGATGGAGGGAAGGATGGTGGATAGATGGTTGGTGGATGAATGAGGGGATGGAGGGAGGAAGACGGAGATGGATGGCAGATAGATAGGTAGATGGAAGGATGGGTGAGAGATAGATGGACAGATGGGACAGATGGATGGATGGTAGATGGAGGGAGGGATGGTTGGGTGGATGGATGGTTGGTAGATCAATGAATGGATGAAGGGAGGGAGAGACAGACAAATGGTGGATGGAGGGTGGAAATGATAGTGGATGGATGGGTAGAGGGATGGATAGGTGGGTGGGTGGATAGATGGGTGGATATGTGAATGATGGGTTGACAGATGGATGGTAGATAGAGGAAGGGAGGGAGAAATCTATGGAGTGACGGAGAAGTAAAGGGATGGTAGCTAGAGGGAGAAAGGATGAGTGGATGGTTGGTGGATGAATGAGTAGATGGAGGGAAGGAGAGATAGATGGTAGATGGGTGGGTGGATAGACAGTGGATGAATGGGTGAATGGACAGATGGATGGGTGGGTAGGTGGATATCTGGGTGGGTAAATGGATGGATGAGTGAATGACGAATGAATGTATAGGTGCATTGATGGAGGAAGGGACAGATGGATGGTGGATGGAGGGAGGGAAGTATGGGTGGACGGTTGGTGGATGAATGAGTGGATAAAGGAAGGGAGAGATGGATGTGAATGGAGGGCGGGTAGACAGATAAATAGTGGGTAGATGGGTGGATGGATGGGTGGGTAGGTAGATGTGTAGATAGGTGGGTAGATAGATGTAGATGGATGGGTGAATCGATGGGTGGATAGGTAGATAGATGTATGGGTGGGTATATGGGTAGATGAATGGACAGATGGAGGGAGGGATGACTGGGTAGGCAGATGGTTGGTAAATGGGTAGGTGGATGGATGGACAGACAGATGGATGGATGGATCTATGGGTGGGTGGATGGTGGATGGATAGCTGGATGGGTAGATGTATATGTAGGTGTGTGGAGAGATAGAGGGATGGATAGATAGATGGATGGATGGATGGAAAGGTGGATAGCAGAAGGAGGGAGGAATGGATATGCAGGTGGATGGATGGGTGGATGAGTAGATAGATGGGTGAATGAATGATGGGCAGGTCAGTTAACAGATGGTCGAATGGATGTGCGCATCACAATCTTTTGTGTGTACCACAAGCTTTTGTCACAAGCTCATTTTCAGTTAGCTTAAAAGTTGTCTGAAGACAGAAATATATTCTATTTGAATCCCCAAATGCCTAACACACATGATAATCACTATTTCATCTGTCTGAACATAATTTTTTAACGTGTTCAACAAGCTGCAGTAGGAAAGCCTCCTTGATAACTGCACTCACTTAACAAATGGGAGGCTGGGAGATGACGGGGGTGGCAGCTAGGGATCATTTCCAGGGAACTCTCAAAGAGCTTCAGAGACTTGCCATCCCCTCCCCAACTGTGACATGGCTCAAGCACCCGGTCCCAACAACCACTATGTTGGAAGTCCACAACCTAAAACCACTTCATTTTTACATTGACTGTTCTAGCTATGAAATCAGTGAGAAGGCTGACTTCTGGTGGAAGGCAGAACCCACAAGGAGACAGGCTGAGCATAGCTCTGAAGGGCCCAAAAGTAGACAGCTTGAGAAATAACAGCTCTACTACACACGTTTGCTAAAGACATCTTTGACCCAGGCTTCATGTAACATTCTTATGATTTCTATAAACAGTTCTGAGTTCCGTGGCTTTCCAATAACCAAATGTTTTCATTTGTTGTTTCCCCAGGATCTTCATAAAAATATACCAAATTAAAACTGTCACTTAGAACACAAGCAGAAACAAAGGCAGGTGGAGCTCAGCACCAGCTGCCCCACCAGCATGGCTCCACGGCTCTCACACACGGTGATCTTACCTCCACGTCCAGCATGAAGACTTTGCTTCCAGCACACACTGCAACAGAGCGGTCACCAGGGCCAAACCTCACACACAGTACTCTTCCCAGAAGGGTGCCAACAACAGCCCCTTGAGGAGTCAGCCCTAGGGCAAGTTTAAAGTTAGTGTCAGTCCATCCACCATGCCCACGTGACTTACAGGAGGAGAAATGGGCCAGGACACAATTCTCTGCTCTACAACTGTCCAAAGAGTGGCAATGTGCTGGAATAGGGCACCGTTCTTTGACAGCCTCTAGAACATTCTTCTGAAGCATCAGAAGCGCAGGACAAGCCCATGGGAGGTGGCCCAGCCAGCAAGCAGGACACAGTCACCATGAGTACAAACTGAGCACAGAACCCCGAGTTCTTCCACCATGTCCACCCTACTAAAGATCAGCCGTGACACTGACTTTGGCCAGTGTAGAGTGGCAGAGGACGCCGTAACAACAAAATCACAAGGGCAGGCCAGCCAGCCTAAGGGGAGGAAGACAAGCATGTAGGGCAGAGCCCCACCAGAAGACTCGGAAAGCACAGCTCCTGCCACCTGGCCCAGGCCAGACGGAAGCTGCCACTGTGCAACACGAGAACCTGTGGACACCAACTTGTGTGTCTCGTGGAGTACTAGTGTGGCACGAACATGCTGTCAGTCTGTAGACTGTGTGCCACAGGGGTACTGCTGGGGAGAGAGGCCGGGCCCCTCCCACAGACTCACTCAATAACGGCTAGCCCCTTTCTAGGAGCTGAGGATGGGGCAGCAGATGAGGACATGACCACCAAGTACACGGGCTTCTGCCTCTGTGAAAATGGGTATGGACGAGGCAAAGGAAAGGTTCCACCAGCCGTGGTAAACAAACCACTGAAAGGAGCTGAGTACACTGGGTAGGGGCATTGTAGGAGGACACCAAGAAGTGAAGGGCAGAGGGGATATCTGGGCTAAGACCTGAAGGGATGATGCTGACAGTGATTAGGAGCCCATCAGAGAGCGGCTGCACCCCCCTCCCCGCGCCCCCCACCCAGCCCGGCTGAAGCTGGAGACTGCATGTGTGATCCCGAGGTGGGGCGTGGGGGTGGGGTGGGGTGGGGGGCTTTCCACAGAGGCATGACACAGTGGATTGATGTTTAATGGGCCCTCTGGCTTCTGAATTGAGAACAAAATGCCAGTATGGGGAGAACAGGACCAAGGAGATAGCAAGCGGTCTGTGCAGTAATCCAGATCAGAGACTTGCAGCTTGAGCCTGGGCAACACTGTGGGGAGAGGGAGAGATGCCACAGAATGGCTATGTGTGAAGGCGAGACACAACTCAGCAATGGATGGAACACAGGAAGTGAGGGGGGACAGCCCCTGGCTCTAACCTCACGGCTAGGACAGCATGGAGAGCTGAGATGGGAAGGCTGGGGGAGGAGGGCTGGCGGGGGAGGCGGCCTGCACTGAAAGCTGGCAACAGCCTTAGACATCAGGGTAAAGTCGAGAAGGGAGTTATCAGGAAGCTGCACTGGGAGGACCCCCAGCAAGGGCAGGGAGTGAGCCACAGCCCCAGTGTGCAGCACAGGTGCACTATCATCTGTGTGTGCAGCGCAGGTGCACTGTCATCTGTGTGCATGGTGTGGTTGGCACTATTGCCCGGGTCATAAATCCCAACATTGAGTCCTGCTCCATTACCACAGCCAGAGCTGCCTGCATAGCTTCAGATATTGTAAAACCTTGTGTCAGATAAGAAAGCACAGAGCCCGTAGATCAGCACACTGTGAGCCAGCAGAGGCTGGAGGGTCTGCTGGCAGCATCCACCCAGATGCTGGCCTTCTCAGCCCGGGTAAAAGCGGTTCAGAGCCTGCCTGTGACCAAATGCACTGCAGGCAGGAGTCACACCTGTAAGATATTTTTTGAAACTCTTTTTTGCATTTTCATTTACCTTGAAGAATCTTCTTTCTGCATTCATCCAGGTTCCACATTATAACATAATCCTGTGATGCAGAACAGATTAAAGGTGGGTCCGGTTTATTTCCAAAAGTTATGGCAGTGATGGGATAATGGTGTCCTTGTAGGAATAAATGCTGTAAAAAAAAACAAAAAAAAAAAAAAACAAGAAAAAAGTCACAGGGTACACATAACATCTAAAATTAGAGCAAAAAAAGTAAGAAATTAAAGACACGGAACGTTCATACATTCACTGCATATTTTTAATCCATTCATTACAATCCCTGCTTCTGTTACTGAAACGTGCTCTCAAGTTAGCCAGCATGGTGACACTGCACACCCCACAGGGCTGTGGGGTGCAGCCTGTGTGTGTCCTTTTCCACTGTCCACTCATTTAAACACCCATAGTGCCTCCTCATTACACACAGAACAGCAACAGCGGGGAGAGCGGGGATCCCTGGAAGCCACAGTGGGTCCAGCAACCCTGGAGGGAGGCAGAGCCAAGAACTGGCATGGACACTCTCAAAACGTGTGGCCTGCACAGAGGAAACGAAGCAGAGATCATTTCTGGGAGAGGGACACAGGGACCTGAAAGCTGTGGTCAAAGGAAAGGAATTCAGGGGCAAGTTTGGGACAGCCCTGATGCCAGCACGGAGGAGACATGGAGAGCTCAGCAGACACAGGTGGCATTGCTCAGGAAGACAAACTGCTGACGACCTTTCAGCAGAGAAGGAGAAGAGAATAAAAGCACACAGAGCTCCCCCGTGATAGGTTAAAGTGACAGTAGAAGAAGAAGAAAAAAAGATCAAGGGGAATGCCAGATGAGAAGGGAACACGTTTCAGGTCTTGGTTACAAGAGGTAGTTTGATACGAAGGTTATCATTCAAACAAGAGGACAAGGAACTCTCCTCTGGTGACAGTAGGAGTCTTCATCTATACCAACCCTTCTGACAAGAAAGACAAGACAACTTGAAACTTCCATTAGAATAAACAAACAAGTCCTCTTGAAGGCATTAGAAAGGTGAAGAGCACAGAGAAGACATCGGAGGAGGCAATCCCATGAAGACATCTTTGACTTGGGCAGCCTCCTCACAGGCCAGGAAGTGCTGCTGAGAAGCTGACACCTGACAGGGCTGAGGACACAGAAGGCAGCATGGTCACAAGGATAAAAGCAGAAACAGAGAGGAGGACAAGGATGTCCGCCGCCTTATATACTATACGTCTGAAAGAGAGCCGAGTGCTTTAATGTTGAGGAGACTATGCTTACAAAACCACATGAGTAGATGTTAATAACTGCCTTCTAGAAATACAAGCCACCAAGAGGGTAAGGCACACTTCAATAACTAGAAACCTGAAAAGAACCAAACTCAAGATGCAGAGCTGAGCGGGAACAGAATCCTCCTGAGAATGGAGCCAACATCATCCCTAACCAGAGCAGGCAACAGGGCTTGCTGGCATCACCTTAGCAAACCAAGGCTACATCAAGAAAACAAATCTCCAGTCTCAAACTAGCTCTACATTGTTCATCTATAATGTCCAGCATTCAACCAAAAAATACCCAGTACTGGGGGAAACAAGACCATGTGATCACAAACTAAGAGAAAGAAAACACAACCAAAAAAATCATCATAGTCATCCAGAGGGATGTGAGCCCAACCTACACCTGAGCCACCAGGGGGGAAGAATTGGACACAATCACTAAAGCAGAAGTTGGAGACATAAAATACAGTCTCACAACAGGAAGGATTCAAACAAAAACCAGGTGAGACCAAACTGAGTGGATTAAGAGCACTGTCAGACACAGCAGAAGGAAAGGCCAGTGAAGGAGACACAGCCACAGGAACTGTATGAACTAAGGCTGTATGTGAGGCTAAGTCACATAAACAAAAATGAGAAAGTATCAGTAAACTGTGGGACTCTTCAGGCGCTGAAATATTCACATGCATGGGTCCTCAGAGGTGGAGAAGGTCTGAGAAGAATGGCTGAATTTGATGACCATAAAGCTATAAAAGCTAAAAAGAAAACAAGAAATAAGAAAATACACTAAAACACCTCATGATCTAACTTCTCAAAACCAACGATAAAAAGCCGTCAGGGAAAATGACACATTCAATTCATAAGAATAATAATACCACACAAACAGTGGAATATCACATTAAAATATTGAAGAAAACCACCAACTGAGGGTCCTCTACCAAGTCAAAGTATCTTTCAAAAGCACAGCAAAATTACAGCATTAGGACAGATAAAAGCTTAAATAATGCATCATGTCTGCTCTAAATATACATTAAACAATGTTCTTCAGACAGAAAGGTAGTTTCTCTAGACAGAAAAATGCATTTACACAAAAACATCAAAATCTAGTTTATATACCTACTGTGACATTTTCTTGTTGCTTAATTCGATTTGTGTTTGTGCATGTGTGAGTGTGTGTGTGCATGTGTGCACGTGGCCCTGGAGATTGAACTCAGGACCTCATGCTTGCCAGGCCAGTGTTCTACCACTTGTAATGTTCTTAACGCTTTTTTTAGCTTGTTTTTCAGATAAGGTCCCATATTAGCTTTTTCTAGCCTTGTCTCAAACCACCATTCTCCTACCTCTGCTTCCCAAGTAGCATGAGCCACCACACCCAGGCCCTGCTTATTGTATCTTCGATGAGGATGTTTATCACACATGCAAAAGCTAAATGTATAGGAACAAAGATATAAATGCTACAGGGAAAGAGACAAAGACATAGCATTAATGAGAATAAAAAGCAGTCACGGTTGATCTTAAAGCAAAGATCATTACCAAAGATAGAAAAGTCACTTCAGAAAACAACAATCCGAGCCGGGTGCCGGTGGCTCATGCCTGTCATCCTAGGTACTGAGGAAACTGAGATCTGCGGATTGCAGTTCAAAGCCAGCCCGGGCAGGAAAGTCCATGAGACTCTTATCTCCAATAAACCACTAGAAAACTGGAAGTGGCGCTGTGGCTCAAGTGGTAGAGCGCTCACCTTGACTGAAGAGCTGAGGGACAGCGCCCAGGCCCCAAGGAGTTCAAGCCCCACAACCGACAAAAAAAAAAGAAAAAGAAAAAGAAAACAACAATCCGTTCTTCCTAACGCTAACTGGAGACTACCCTGTCACCAGACTGACACTAAAGCGTTGGTGAGACCATCATACACCATCTGCAGAGGCAACCTGTCGGGGTGCCCGCCGGGGTGCATGTCTTCCTGCCGCTCAGCAATTCACACTGCCAGAAGACCTAGCAAACAAAATGAACATCCCACAGGATTCCTCCACCTCATGGTGCACAGAAGCTCACACAGAACACACAAAGTTCCAACATGAGCACACAGAGACACAGGCATCAGTCAGGACTGCCTTGCCTCTGGAGCAGAGAGGAGGCAGGGCCTGGGCCTTGGCTGCACACACATGCATGTTTTCTAAGCAAAGTTTATTTACCTCACTGCAAAGTAAGAAAGATCAAGGGGTCTTGCTTGGGTTGATATAAAACTTTTTTTTTTTTTGTCGGTTGTGGGGCTTGAACTCTGGACCTGGGCACTGTCCCTCAGCTCTTCAGCTCAAGGCGAGCGCTCTACCACTTGAGCTACAGCGCCACTTCCTGATATAAAACGTTTTATGATCATGTTCTTACTGAGAAATTGTTAATAAGACATCTCATAAGCTAAAAACTTAAGACAGCAGTTTTATCAACACTTTTTTTCTGCTATGGTTCGTAGCTAGTCCACAGGGAGTAAAGTAATGCTGCCAGTCAGAATAAGACACAGAGCTGCAGGAAAAGGCCCTGCACTTCACAGGAAAGACCTTCACTCACGAGGTACCTGGTGCGGGGGATCCCTGGGGTCCCACACACAGAGCTGGCTCCCATGCCAAGGGAAGGCACAGTACTGTGTGCTGCAGGCAAGCTGGACATGGGGCACAGACTCCTCCAACTCCGCCAGGTATCTCTCCACAACTACATCACTCTCATGATAGGGGAATTCCATCTTCAGCCTGAAAATGCAAAGAACACGCACAATGTCTTCAGGTGTGACAGTATAAAATACTGTTTATTCATAACTACTAGCAGTATTATTTATTCATAGCACTACATCACAACTGGCCCTCACCCTCCCCGCTCCCAGAAAATGGAGAAGAAGGTGAACATGCAAAAACCCACATGCAGGCCTTCCCACACCCCTCACCTGCTTCCCGCTCTGTGGGCCTTGCTGGACCTGCTGGGCGGGCGTCTTGGACTGTGAAGTGAGAACAGTTAACTCTCAGAGGCACGGACTGAATGGGGCCCCCAAGCCAAGTGCAGTCAAAATGTTGGTTATGGAACCAACTACCATTACCAAAGTTGCCTTCTAATTGGGTGGACTGCAACTGAAATCCAGATAATCTAGAGCTAGCCTCTTGAAGTACTTCACAATACACAATGGGTTCTATCACCGGTGACTGACTGGCTGTACCTCACAAAGCATAAATCAACAAAACAATGTTTAGAACTTGTTCTCATGTCACACGCAGCGCCCCAAAAACATGACCTCAGATGCAGGCACCTCTCAACCCAAGCCCATTTCGGAAGCAGATACAACTGGCTCAGACAAGGGACCTGCTGACAGTGAGGCGAGAGATCCCAGCCTTTGGGGGTCCCCAGCACAAGGGCCCGGCCAGCCCTCGTCACCACAGTGGCCACCATGTACAACAGAGGCCATCGATTCAAAAAGATCGGGCTCAAGCTGTGGCTTCCTTTTGAGGCCAGTGCCAGTCAAAGGGGCCCTCTGACCACAGACAGGGGTGGAGTGAAGAAGGGAGGCAAATCCTGCATGCAGGCCAGGCGCGAGACCATGAACTACCAAATTTGTTGAATAGAAAACTATTTAGAAAGCAACTTGAAAACTCACACATCAGTCTGCCAGCTCCCAAATGACCCTTCGCAGGTCGGGGGAATGTACCCAGATAAAGCCCACTACATGGCCGGGACACCATGCTACCCTAGCCCCCCTCGGTCACCACCGTGGACTGAGACTCCCATCTCCACTGTCCCTCAGCCAGGCTCACCCTCCGGATCCCCTCCTCAGCTCCTCCCTACCACTAACTGCACGGCCATCCTGCCTAGGCCTACTGTCCCACAGACATGGAGCACATGTGGATATGATGCTTACACCTAGTCCACTGTCCCTCAGTGCTGACCTGGGGTCCACTGTCCCTCAGCGCTGACCTGGGGTCCACTGTCCCTCAGCACTGACCTGGGGTCCTCCACTGTCCCTCAGCACTGACCTGGGGTCCTCCACTGTCCCTCAGCACTGACCTGGGTCCTCCACTGTCCCTCAGCGCTGACCTGGGGCCCTCCACTGTCCCTCAGTGCTGACCTGGGGTCCACTGTCCCTCAGCGCTAACCTGGGGCCCTCCACTGTCCCTCAGTGCTGACCTGGGGTCCACTGTCCCTCAGTGCTGACCTGGGGTCCACTGTCCCTCAGCACTGATCTGGGGTCCTCCACTGTCCCTCAGCACTGACCTGGGTCCTCCACTGTCCCTCAGCGCTGACCTGGGGCCCTCCACTGTCCCTCAGTGCTGACCTGGGGTCCACTGTCCCTCAGCACTGACCTGGGTCCTCCACTGTCCCTCAGCGCTGACCTGGGGTCCACTGTCCCTCAGTGCTGACCTGGGGTCCTCCACTGTCCCTCAGTGCTGACCTGGGGTCCTCCACTGTCCCTCAGCACTGACCTGGAGTCCTCCACTGTCTCTCAGCACTGACCTGGGGTCCTCCACTGTCCCTCAGCACTGACCTGGGTCCACTGTCCCTCAGCACTGACCTGGGGTCCACTGTCCCTCAGCACTGACCTGGGGTCCTCCACTGTCACTCAGCACTGACCTGGGGTCCTCCACTGTCCCTCAGCACTGACCTGGGGTCCACTGTCCCTCAGCACTGACCTGGGGTCCTCCACTGTCCCTCAGCGCTGACCTGGGGCCCACTGTCCCTCAGTGCTGACCTGGGGTCCTCCACTGTCCCTCAGCGCTGACCTGGGGTCCACTGTCCCTCAGTGCTCACCTGGGGTCCTCCACTGTCCCTCAGTGCTGACCTGGGGTCCTCCACTGTCCCTCAGCACTGACCTGGGGTCCTCCACTGTCCCTCAGCGCTGACCTGGGGTCCTCCACTGTCACTCAGCACTGACCTGGGGTCCACTGTCCCTCAGCGCTGACCTGGGGTCCACTGTCCCTCAGTGCTGACCTGGGGTCCACTGTCCCTCAGCACTGACCTGGGGTCCACTGTCCCTCAGCACTGACCTGGGGTCCACTGTCCCTCAGTGCTGACCTGGGGTCCTGGGTCCACTGTCCCTCAGCGCTGACCTGGGGTCCACTGTCCCTCAGCACTGACCTGGGGTCCACTGTCCCTCAGCACTGACCTGGGGTCCACTGTCCCTCAGTGCTGACCTGGGGTCCTGGGTCCACTGTCCCTCAGCACTGACCTGGGGTCCTCCACTGTCACTCAGTGCTGACCTGGGGTCCTCCACTGTCTCTCAGCAATGACCTGGGTCCCACTGTCCCTCAGCACTGACCTGGGGTCCACTGTCCCTCAGCGCTGACCTGGGGTCCACTGTCCCTCAGTGCTGACCTGGGGTCCTCCACTGTCTCTCAGCAATGACCTGGGTCCCACTGTCCCTCAGCACTGACATGGGGTCCACTGTCCCTCAGCACTGACCTGGAGTCCACTGTCCCTCAGCACTGACCTGGGGTCCTCCACTGTCCCTCAGCACTGACCTGGGGTCCACTGTCCCTCAGTGCTGACCTGGGGTCCTCCACTGTCCCTCAGTGCTGATCTGGGGTCCTCCACTGTCCCTCAGCACTGACCTGGGGTCCTCCACTGTCCCTCAGCACTGACCTGGGGTCCACTGTCACTCAGTGCTGACCTGGGGTCCTCCACTGTCCCTCAGTGCTGACCTGGGGTCCTCCACTTTCCCTCAGCACTGACCTGGGGTCCTCCACTGTCCCTCAGCACTGACCTGGGGCCCTCCACTGTCCCTCAGCACTGACCTGGGGTCCTCCACTGTCCCTCAGCACTGACCTGGGGTCCTCCACTGTCCCTCAGCACTGACCTGGGGTCCACTGTCCCTCAGCACTGACCTGGGGTCCTCCACTGTCCCTCAGCACTGACCTGGGGTCCACTGTCACTCAGTGCTGACCTGGGGTCCTCCACTGTCCCTCAGTGCTGACCTAGGGTCCTCCACTGTCCCTCAGCACTGACCTGGGGTCCTCCACTGTCCCTCAGCACTGATCTGGGGTCCACTGTCCCTCAGTGCTGACCTGGGGTCCTCCACTGTCCCTCAGTGCTGACCTGGGGTCCTCCACTGTCCCTCAGCACTGACCTGGGGTCCACTGTCCCTCAGTGCTGACCTGGGGTCCTCCACTGTCCCTCAGTGCTGACCTGGGGTCCTCCACTGTCCCTCAGCACTGACCTGGGGTCCACTGTCCCTCAGCACTGACCTGGGGTCCACTGTCTCTCAGCAATGACCTGGGGCCCACTGTCCCTCAGCACTGACCTGGGTCCACTGTCCCTCAGCGCTGACCTGGGGTCCTCCACTGTCCCTCAGGACTGACCTGAGGACCTTCACTGACTCTGAGCACTGTAGAGATAGCCATCCCCCCACCCGTAACTACCTATTACAATAGAAGCATGTGAGACCACACTCTCGTACACACAGAATGGCCCATGCCCCCCAGAACCTGGCCATCCCAGAGAGTGATGAGACCAGTTAACAACACTCCAAGTCACAAGATTCAAATCTTGCAGATTCAAACAGAAAAATATAAAGTTTTGTTTTCATTTAAGCTGTTATGAAAATAAAACTTGCACACTTCATAATTTAAGTACCCATCACATACCCATTCTCTCTCAATAATGCAGGAGTCCTAGAAGAGAATATAGCAAAGAGGAAAATAAAAAAAAATTAAATAGCAACTATAAAATATCTTTCACAAGGCAATGGCAGTGCCAACAACTTTAACTCGTTCATTGCTTACTGAATGTAAAGCAAGCAATATCAAGTCACATCTTTGTTACTAAAATTCTTGAATTACAGCACCCAAGAGCAGGGTGCTAGTGGCTCACACTTGTAATTCCAGCTACTCAGTAGCTGAGATCTGAGGATCCTGGTTTGAAGCCAGCCTGGGCAAGAAAGTCCGTGAGACTCTTATCTCCAATAAACTACTCAGAAAAAGCCAAATTGGAGCTATGCCTCAAGTGGTAGCGCACCAGCCTTGAGCAAAGAAGCTCAAGGACAGTACCTAGGTCATGAGTCCAAGCCCTAGGATTGGCACACAAAAAAATACAAAACAAAACAATTCAACAATACCCACAGGAAGCTATGAAACAGGTTTCTTATATTACCTTCCAAGCGGTGTTTCTCCAAGGAGAAATACTCGCAATAGCTCACTGAGGCCAGGCACGTGAAAGACGAAGAGAACCATCTACAGTACCTGTGGCCACTGAGGGAGAGCTGCTACCAGCTCACACAGTGGTCAGGTGAGGCCCCTCCATGGAAGAAGGGCCCAAAAAGAGGCAGACACTAAAAGGTACCCAAGGTAAGAATTTACAGATGGGACTTTCTTCTAAACAATCAAGGGCTGTTAAAAGCAGTGATATGAAATACTTCACCCTCATCTGTGTCATAAGAAAAGAAAAAGGAGAAAGACCAAAGGCACCAGGGCCCTGAAAGACCACTGGTCATTCAATGCTGGAGACGTGGCCAAAAGGAAACCCTACTGCATTGTTGGCGGGAGTGTAAACTTGTTCAACCACTCTGGAAAGTAGTATGGAGGTTCCTGAAAAGACTCCACATAGAGCTCCCCTAGGACCCAGCAATCCCACTTTTGGGCATTTACCCAAATGATCACAAACAAGGCCAGACTAAAGCTAGCAGCACAGCTATGTTTATCGCAGCATTGTTATTCACCATAGCTAAGATATAGGACCAATCCAGATGCCCCTCAGGTGAGTGGATCAAGATGTGGTATATATATACAATGGAATTCTATGACACCACCACATTTGTTAGGAAATGGAAAGACTTGGGAAAAAAATTTATTAAGTGAAGTAAACCAGACCCAAAGAAACATAGTCCCCATGGTTTCCCTTATTTGCAATAAGCAGTATACGTCTAGGATAATCTTACCAGACAAGCAGAAAAGGTCAAAAGCTACGTACATATGACCATAAGACCTTATACAAAGTGAAATGAACCCAAGATATGGACACAAGAGGTTTCTTCTTTGTTGCTATTGTTTTTAATGTACTGTGTGATTTTTTTTGTTTCTTTTGTATGTTCTTCCTCCACGTTATAACACCTGTTTTCACTGTATTTGATTCTGGTGCCCTGCATCTTGTACATACATTTTTTCTAATTTAGGGAGGGGAAGGGAACAACAAACCTTACAACTTCAGGGGAAGTAGCTGGGGGAGGGAGTAGCTGGGGATGTGGGGAAGAGAAATTAGGGGAAAAACAAGAGGAGGGGGTAACAATCCTCGACAGGAAGGGTACTCATTACCTTACTCATGTAACTCTATCCCCTCTGTACAGTATCCTTACAAAAAAAAATACTTTAAATTATTTTTTAAAAAAGAATCTTGGGTCAAAAGGCCAAGTCAGGTCCCTGTACTAGTAATGGTGTGAAGTCAGAGATTTGAGATATTTAATGGCAGGTATAAAATTTAAAATACCTCCATGGACATTTTTTAGTCTATGAAAGATATGTATCTCCATTCAGAATTCAATTTTAACTTTTTTAGTGTTTTTTCTACAATAATAAGTTACAAAGACTGGATCCACACTACTCCTCTGTGTGCAGCAGCAATCCGACTGCCATGAGCCGAGGAGCTCCCTCGGTGCTTCCAGAAGACCGCATGTCCTCAGCCTGCCTCCTCCTCGCTGAGACTTCTGCACCAGGTCAGCAGTGCTGGGAGGGAAAGCTCCCGACTTCAGGTCTGTTGGGTAACTAGCTCTGTACTGCAGATGGGATGGTCTGTGTGTACTGCCCCCTTGTGGCCATGTGTGTGTGTGGGTGTGTGGTGGCTGCACGGGAGGCCTGCGGGGATGCAGTATGTCATGTGGGTACAGCATGTATGTGTATTCCTGCACTTCCAGGGCTATGGGATGCAGTATGTCATATGGGTACACGTATATGTATGTATGTGTATTCCTGCACTTCCAAGCCTATGGGATGCATATGTGTTTGGGCATATGTTTGTCTACATTCAAAAATAGGTGGATATTTTTCACTTAAATTGTTATGGCCAGGCGCTAGTGGCCTGTAATCCTAGCTACCCAGGAAACTGAGATCTGAGGACTGTGGTTCGAGGCCAGCCCAGGCAGAAAAGGCTGTGAGACTCTTACCTCCAATGAACCATCAAAAAAAATCAGGAAGTGGAATTGTGGCTCAAGTAACAAGAGTGCTAGCCTTGAGCACCAAAGCTCAGGGGGGGCCAGGCCCTAAATTCAATCCCCAGGACCAGCACACGTGCGTGTATGCACACACATACACACACAAATTTGTTATCTATAAAAATAAAACTTGCACACTTGGTAACTTATATACTCATCATCTACCCATTCTTCTTCAACAATGCAGGAGTAGAAGTTTGAGAAGAGCATAGAGCAAAGCAGAAAAAGATGAATAACTTTCAGGTAGCAATTCGAAAGTATCTTTCACAAGGGAATGGCAGTGCCAACTACCTTAACCCCATCTTACATACTGAACGTATATATTGAGTAATCATGCTAAATTCCATAACTGAGTACAGATAAACTGATATTTTCTAAACACATGGAAAGGTCTGGTCACGGTGGCTCACATCAGTAATCCCACCAATGTTAAAGTGTTAGCTAGGTAGTCTGAGGCTACCCCTGGACAAAAAGCCTGAGATAATAATTGAAAAATAAAACCAGGGTTGGGAAGGTGGCTCTTGGTAGACTGCATGCCTTGCATGCACGAGGCCCTGGGTTTGATTCTTCAGTACCACATAAGCAGAAAAAGCTGCAAGTAGTGCTGTGTGATATGGTGCTAGCCTTGAGCTGAAGAGCTGAGGGACAGCGCCCAGGCCCAGAGTTCAGACCCCATGACCGACAAAAAAATAAATAAATAAAAACAAAGCAAAAAGGATGGGGTAAAAAAAAAGCCTACTAAAGTTGAATTCAGACCACAGTTCCATGAAAAAAAATAGTAATAATGAATGAATAAAAATACATGAAAAGACTAATGGTTGTATATAACTTCTAATTTAGTATAATGGGAGCTGATTACCATGTGAGATCACTACAGAGGCATTGTTTTTAAGTAACTTCTGTGTAGGCCTCCAAGCAGCTGGGTCTGGGGTGGATACACCGATGGTCTTTCCTATCCTTGAATCTTCTCATGGACTCTGTCTTGGATCTTTGTAAACATACAGCACTGATCAGGTCCAAACTTTATCATCGGTAACCAAGCTGTCTCTAAGCACAAGCCTACTTCCTTAAAACTAAAAAGTTGTTTTTTAAACGAATGAGGTGTAAAAAAGAAAATGCATATTGGGATGGGAAGGTGGCTCAGTGGTAGAGTGCTCGCCTAGCATGCATGAAGCCCTGGGTTCGATTCCTCAGCACCACATACACAGAAAAAGCCATAAGGTGCTATGAGCTCAAGTGGTACAGCACTAGCCTTAAGCAAAAGAAGCTCAGGACAGTGCCCAGGCCATGAGTTCAAGTCCAGGACTGGCAAAAAAAGAAAAAGAACAAGAAAGAAAATGCACATCTATGCAGAGAGAGAGCAGGTGATGTGTTCCTAAACAGGAGCCCTGATTCCAGCCCAGCATTCCGTTTCAACACAAAGATGACAGTCACGAAAGGCTGCGTTTGAAGAAGCCCTGCAGGGGGCGACCGGACGCGACGGACGCATGCCGCTCCTGAACCGGGAAAGAGGAGAAGCGGCTTCTCACCGGCACCGGGCCAGGCCTGCGGACAAGGGCCAGCCCGTCCGCCCAGCAGCCGGCACAACGCCAGACGGGAGGCGCGGCCCAGGCGGAAGAGCACCAGCGGAGAGCCAGCCCGGGCAGACCCCGCGGCGGGAGGAGGCCTCGCCCAGGACCCGGCTGGCCTGAGCAAGCCGCTTCGTCTGGAAAATAGGCCGGTGCCCAGCCAGGAAGTCCCGCAGGGCCCCGCGTGTGCACGGACGCGTGTGTGCACGGACGGGCGAGGGCACGGACGGGCGAGGGCACGGACGCGCGAGGGCACGGACGCGCGTGTGCACGGACGCGCGTGTGCACGGACGCGTGTGTGCACGGACGCGCGAGGGCACGGACGGGGGAGGGCACGGAGGCGGGGACGCGGGGACGCGCGAGGGCACGGACGCGTGTGTGCACGGACGGGGGAGGGCACGGAGGCGGGGAGGCGGGGAGGCGGGGAGGCGGGGAGGCGGGGAGGCGGGGACGCGCGAGGGCACGGAGGCGGGGAGGCGGGGAGGCGGGGAGGCGGGGAGGCGGGGAGGCGGGGACGCGCGAGGGCACGGAGGCGGGGAGGCGGGGAGGCGGGGAGGCGGGGAGGCGGGGAGGCGGGGAGGCGGGGAGGCGGGGAGGCGGGGAGGCGGGGAGGCGGGGAGGCGGGGAGGCGGGGAGGCGGGGAGGCGGGGAGGCGGGGAGGCGGGGAGGCGGGGCGCTCCGAGCCGCCCGGCCCTCGCGCCGGGGCGGCCTGCCGTCTGAGCCGGGCGCTCCGGGCCCGGCCTCCGGCCTCCGGCCTCCGGCGCCAGGCGGCGTCCGGGCCCGGCAGCGCCGGTCCGCGCGGGTCCGCGACTCGGGGGCTCCGAAGGGGAAGTTTACCAGCCCGGCCCGCGCGCGCGCACCCGGCCGGAAGCCCCCGCGAGCCGCGGCGCCCCACGGCAGCGCACGCTCGACGCAGGGCCCCCTTGCGGCCAGCGGCGCCTCACCGCGGCCGTCCCCCCGGCTCTCCTACCCGCCGTCCTGGCCGCCGCGCCGCCACGACAAGCGGCCCACAGCTCCGTCCCGCCCTCGGGAGCGACGGCGCGTCTCTATGGTTACGAGGAAGCGGCCCCGGCGCCACGCCCCCAGTGTTCTCGCGAGAATCCAGCGGCGCGGAGCGGCCCTCAGCTCCGTCCCGCCCTCGGGAGCGACGGCGCGTCTCTATGGTTACGAGGAAGCCGCCCCGGCGCCACGCCCTCGGCGCTCTCGCGAGAAGCCAGCGGCGCCTCGCTTCCGGGAGCGCTTACTTCCGGCACCACCCCCTGCCGCCGGCTCTCCGCAGCGCGGACGCGGCTGGAGACGCGCGCGCGCGCGGCGAGGCCCGGCGGGAAGTCCGGAAGTCTAGGCCTCCCTCCGCGGCGGTTCCGCCCCCGCGGCGTTTCCCGCCCCCGCGCCGCCCCCCGCGGATGCGGCCCCCGAGCTGAGCGCCGCCATGGCCGCCCCGCGGGGCGCCGCGGGCCCCTGGCGCCGCGCCCTGCTGGTGCTGGCGGCGGCGCAGGCCGCGGCCCTGGTCCTGGCGCGGGGCCCCGGCGAGGACGACGCGCCCGAGGAGTGGCTGCTCCTGCACGTGGTCCAGGGCCAGATCGGGGCCGGCAACTACAGCTACCTGCGGCTGAGCCACGAGGGCAAGATCGTGCTGCGCATGCGCAGCCTGCGCGGGGACGCCGACCTCTACGTGTCGGACAGCACGCTGCACCCCAGCTTCGACGACTACGAGCTGCAGTCGGCCACCTGCGGCCCGGACGCGGTCGCCATCCCCGCGCACTTCCGGCGGCCCGTGGGCATCGGCATCTACGGGCACCCGTCCCACGGCGAGAGCGACTTCGAGATGAAGGTGTACCTGGACCGGACCGAGGACCAGCCGCCGGGCCCCGCGGGCGCGGGCGCGCGCGCCCCCGAGGAGCGGCCCGCCGACGAGGACTCGGTCCTCTGGACGGTTCTCATCGGCCTCCTGAAGCTGGTTCTGGAAATCCTCTTCTGAGGCCGGGCGGGGGCCCCGCGGCACGGGGGTCACCGCGGTTTCCCAGGAGGCGACCCGCCTTCTTTCCCGGGTGGAAAGGGTCGGCCGGGGGCCGCAGGCCGCCTCCCGGGGCCGCGCCTGCAACCTGGAGGACTGGGTCCCGGGCCCACACTTGGGGTCCCTTCCACCCCGATAGCACGTGTTCCTAGGTCCGTCACAGTTCCGAATCCACCTGAACCAAACTTTAGGCCGTCTGCCATTTTACCACCTGGGCCTGCCTATTAGAAGCCTTTGATTCTTAAACTTTCAGAGTCCTTAACAATAGTGGAGAAACACCATCATAGATTATGAAAGATTGGTGACAATAATGGTAACTTTATATGATGAACCGTCATTATTCGTCGTGGAATAAAATGTAGCAAATTAAATCGCATTTTAGTAGAGTTTCTGGAGAAAGTCAAAGCACGGAGTCTAAAAACCTTTTAGAAAAGGAGCCATTCCTGTACCTGCGCGTGGTTTCAAAGGTAAGAGGAACGTAATGAAACAAATCGACTTGCAGACTTTAAGACCATCGTTGACTTCCGAAAGCTTTTATTGGCATAAAAATGAATATGTAAATAAACTGGTACTAAATATTCCACTTAAGTGCACACACAGCGTTAGGGTAACAGATCTACCCCTCTTTGCTGTTTTTCCCCCTTCTGCCCACCTTCCTGGGTGTTGGGGAGGCTTGCTGACAACAGTCACAGATCCAGCGACCTAGGAGAGAAATTGTTAGTTTTTATTTTCATAGGACCGAGTATCAAACCATCTTAACACCTGTCCCTTACCGGGCATTGGTGACCCCAACCTCTGGGACTTCCAAGTGTGGGGTGATGAGGAGCGCTATTGAGTTCTTTAAACCAGGAAGAAAAATACACCCTTATCATAACCAGGTGACCAATGCTATGTGAAGTGCCAAGCAAAGGGCAAGGATGCTGGAGGATGCAGTTACTGTAATCCTACCTGAAATTAAATGACTACATTAATTTAGAAGCCCAATACAAAGCCTGTTACGGAACATGGCTTTTCTCTGCTGCTAAACCAGCTGTACACTGACAGCACTTTAAAACAAGCACAACCTGTTCTGAGTTACACAGAATTTTCATTTGCTTCTACAAAACAATTCTAAGCATGTAATTTAGAGAATTACATAGTATCAACTATGCAAATAAGTTCTAAAAGTACAATTACCTGTGTAACATTCTAGGTTCAGAAGGGTGGTTTGCTTTGATTCTAATGTCCATTCTAAAGTTATCTGGATTGTCATGCTGCCTCATAGAAATACATTCTGACATGGGAAAAGATGTAGCAGTCACTTCTAAATAGATGACATGCAAAATTAAAAGCACTGAAGCAACTCGTACTATAACTACATAAAATATAAAGACACCAGCCCATATATACATGGAACTATACTTGTAAATCTAGCCTTCGTGTCTCTTCATCTTGCCTGTCCTTAGATGCACTGACAGAGACGAAAAGATGGACAGATGCCTGTACAGAAGGGGCTATAGACCGTGTGTTTATGTCATGGATGCAGTCTTAAATGTTGAGAGCCTCCTCACACAAATAAAATGTGTTGTTTTTTTATAGAATCTTTACCTGATGGAATAGCACCAAGGCCCACACAAAAAGTATGATAACCTCTGTCACACACATCACAGAACATCATTTCTTCTTCGTGGTGGGGCTGTCCACATATAATGCATGTCTTACATTCCATACACTGCCATGGGTAGGTCTTAATCATAGAAACAAGCTCCATGGTCATATCCAAGCAAGAAGGATGGCCTAAATCAAAACCAACATTAGTAGTCTTTCACAAGAGAACTTTTAATAAGGCATATCAAATACTGGCTTTCTTTAGGATTTCCCAAGAATGGCTAGAATGCTTAATAACCAAAGAAATCAAAATACAGTGTAGAATACATGGGCTTTACACAAGTTGCTCTATACATTTGCTGATTCTTTGCAGAGCCTAGCTGACAATGATAAATCCTAGTTTTTGAAGCAACAGACAGGGTGGGTTAAAATCTGAAGGAGACATCTCTGTACTTACCACTGTTCTCACACTGGGAGCAGTGTATAAGTGATTCAGCCTTTCCTTTCTTGTTGGACTCCTTACCCTTCAGACAAATTCCACATAGAGCATTTGGAATGACCTTTGGCTGGAAGGGTAGAAGAGGGCTATAAATTCATGCCAGAAGAGCTTACTATGGGTTCAAAAGGAATTCTGTTACTGGTCACCTTATCTTTACTTTTGGTAACTTGCTAATGAAGACCTTTGTGAAAGACATATAACTCGGCATGAGTCAGCTTACAGCATAAAAGGGCCACCTGAGGAAAGCCTTAGATTTCATCTAGTAAACAACATGACCTCGTGTTACCATTAAATGTAGAACTCTACTCACTGCATGCACAGTTCAGATCTGTATAAAACAATACGGAAAACAATGAAGTGTTAAAGGTCACTATTCTATTGTTCACTAAGAGAAAACCCAAGTACCAAATGTAAAGTTGAAGCTCAGTTTTAAGCAGCTTATATATTATCTTCCCGTAAAAACTGGTGTTTTTCCAAGGGTGTAAAACTAGACCTGTAAAATCCAAGCTTAAAAACAATGTTTTAACACCTTTAAGTGAAAATGTTTCATTCAAATGCATGTGTGGAAAACTGAGTTGCATTACTGTCACTGCCTACCTAGCAAATTAGAAGAAACACTAAAGGACAAAAACACTCACTATAATATAAAACATTATAAAAAGGAAAAGGTAGTTTTCAGATAAGGAAAAAAACTAATCACAAAAATACATAAAGCACTCGTATTCTGCATGTCAGCCTTCCAGTTTAAGAAGAACATACACAGCACTGGGGCCTCGAACACACTTGGCAACTATGTGGAAAAGGACGGAGTAAAAGGCTGTTTATACCCCAACGACCAGGGGGACAGGGCCAGCTTAAGCTTGTCGCAACCTTGACTACAAAGTGAGGCTCCCTCATGCTACAAGTATGCCTATCACCTGATAGGGAAGGGAAGAAAACAAGTAGGGCAAGGATGAGATGGGGTAGAGAAACATAAAGTGAGCTTGGAGAGAGGTGATTCTAAGTACACTTAGCCATGTGCATCTGATACAACCCCAGAGAGGGATCTAAAACTCAAGCTGCAGAAAAGCATTCTAGCTCTAAAATGTCTCCTTAACCTTCATAACCTGTTTGACCTAAAGAATTTGTTCTTATTTTCTTTTTTAATTTTTCTTTGCAAAAGATGACAGAGGCATTCAAAAACAATTTTGGCTTATTTATTTTTTTAAAAAGTCAACCTTATACATAAATATGATAAAAACAAACAATCACAAATGTACTCTACAAAATAATAAATATCATGGAAATTAAACAAACATATAAATGTCACCATTAACTATTCTACATCTCCTATGTATGTTTATACCCTGCTCCCCAATTTTCTCAAGCCTAAAATTACCTCTGCTGTTACTTGATACCCTAAACACAATTCTGACTGTGTTTTCCTCCGTGGCAATAAAACATCACTAGGAAGGGCACTTCTGTAATCCACATTCTGGCTCAGTTAGTACCAAATCTGTAACTGTCAAAATAAACAGCAGAATAATGCTACCTTCTCAATCCACAAGAACTAAGAAATCTCTTTGGGTTACAGTACCTGTGCTAAATGTAAAAGATATTAGTAGTTTAAATCAGGTCCTGGCCTATGCCAGTACTAAGTACTATACCTTTCACCACAGTCAGAGAAGTAACTACACAATATTAAATCCTAAAAAGAGACCCTTCACAAAGCAAAACCCAAGAGAAATAAAACAAAGCTAGTTACCATATATTAAAGTTCTACAATTAAAATATACACAAATGTCTATGATAAAAAGGACACTAAGACATTCTAGGTTTACTTTTAAGCTCAGATCACAATGTTTTTTCTAAACCATTTAAAATTTTTCTTACCCAAAAGTCTTCATCTTGTTGAAAAGAGGAAAAGATGGAACAGAAGCATCAGGAGAGAAAGGAAGAGAAGAAGAAATGAGGAAGAGAGAAATAAGGAGAAATGGAGAGGGGAAAGAAGACATGGAGAAGGGAAGAGGTAGAAGGATAGAAACAGAATGGGAAAAGACAGATGAAGGGAAGAGAGATGGAGGAAAGAAAGGATGAGATGGAGAAGTGGGAAAGACGGAAATAGACACATAGGTAGAAATAAGAGGAACAGGAGAGAAAAGGGGAAAGAACATCCAAGCATTGTCTACAATGATACATTTCAACAGACGGAAGCATGTTTGCTTAGTATCTGAGCTACCCAGGGAGCCACAGAGCAACAGTTAAGAGGGAGGAAGCTTCCACCTTCCCATGGATTTGTGGAGGGGTGGGCGGAGGATGCCTAAGATCAGAACAGAGCCCTCAGTTCTACTTGCAACAATACCAGAGTTTCACTGATGACAAGAAGACTAAAATGACCATCCTAACAGTCCACAATATCCCAAATAAAAGGCCCATAGTACACTTAACTTCTTCTTGAAAGAGAGCCAAAGGTAAGTGAGACTTTCATGGTAACAGTAATATAGTACAGATTTTAAATACATATTTATAGGCCTGAATCTTAGCTATTATTGTTTAATATCAGGTTAATGTAACCTAAACGATTCTGTCCTACAAATTAAGGGCAAGTGCTATTCAATCTTATTAAGCAAGACAGCAGATACATTATCATTTTTCTTATTTGCCATATTTTAAAACATGTATGTTTGTGTCCATGTGTACATATGAGCTTCAGCTTGAAGTACCCAAACATTTAGGCACATCTTGGCTTATTATACTATTTATAGAGAGGATAACGTTCAATAATCATGTTCATATTAATATATAATGTCTAGATACTGGCTGCTCCCATCTCTGAAATACCTGAAACATTTTTAGGTACTAAAAATGTTCACAGGGGATACAAAATGCTTATTTTGCATATTACACTCCTTTGAGTACTATTAGGCTAATCTATATGATTTATTAAATCAATGATAATGTGGACAGTTTTTCATGTTCAGCCTGTATTAAAACATCCACCTCCATATTCTTTATTTTTTAATCCATGATCAAACAAGCCAGCAGCACTGGGGAGCTGACAAGCTTTGGCATAAAGCCGCAGCCTCCACTTGGAGCTCCTAGATCACGTACACTGTCTCTGAAACTTAATCTTTGGAGTTCATTTGCTTTCGATTACTAAGTATTAACTTAAATCTTTAGTTTAAGAAACTTAGTAAATGTGAAAAAGCCACCTCCGCCGAGCCCACCAAAGCCACTCCAGAAAGCAACCTCTGAATGAAGCCTAACCTGTTACCATGGGCTGCAAAGAACATGTGTTTTTAAATTGATTACATACAGATACTTTCTAACAAGATATGGAACATTCTTAGTGATGGAATTCTGATTGCTAGAAGGCGCTCAGGTGGGGTGAAGGGGGAGCTCTTACGGGCGGGACAGCCAGCCTGCCTTGTGGGTCACCCACCACAGTGGCCACACGGACACACTTCCACACCGCAACGTTTCCTCATCCCCTTAAAACCTTCCTTATCATACCTTCAGTCACGCTAGAAATCATATTCTACT